TAATGATGTATATATATATATATATATATATATATATTTATATATAGCAATATCTTAACCAAAATATGTATTTGTGAACAGGATTTATTTGGAAATTGATCCAAACAATACGAACAGCGGAGTATATAGAAACGCAGATCCTTTTCTTTTTTTTCGGATGAAATTTCTTAGCGTTTGTTGAGTTAGAGGTACATAAGTTCTTACTTTCATCATGCCGACTGCCATAAAAGGCATCGTGACAATCTATTTATTCACTTTCTATAGAGCTCCGTTGGTTTGAACTTTCTAAGCAAAAGGTCGCTCATACATACAGTTCCAGTAAGGTCAAAAAGTTGAGGAAGACAAAGGGAAGACATCAACTAACGCAAATGATAAAACGAAATGCTTGTTTTCTTGTGCGTTTGTGACCAAAACAACGATTGGAAACAGTATTAGCCATATGTCACATCACCATTCACATTCTGATGTTAATCGGCTTGAATGATATCATGAATTCTCTCAAAATTTCACTCCATTTTCAACGAAATATTCATTTGAATTCTTTTTGTGACCATTCGCAAGAGCATCTTCCATCAAAAAAGCGCAGTTAGCCTTTCGGTGATCGAACTAATATTACGGAGATTATGTGCGGACCAACCTTTTTGGAGGAACAGAGATCACGGAATAATTAGGATGGAAAAAAGGAAATACCTTTACAACTTTAAAAAAATATTTCAACTGCTCTCGCTCTCTCGTGATTTCGTGCTTTTAAACAAATCTCTCTATTACTTCCAATAACATCAAGTTAATTTGAATGACTGAATAATTACAGACCCAGAGAGACACTCCATCTCTTTGAAAGCTGTCTCTGTCCAGTATTAATGACATCTTCGTGTACAAAACCATCAAAAGAAGTCATTATTATATCGAGAGAGGAGAATAAATCAGCTCGATCATCCGTGGAAAGGACCGTATGGACTGATCGTCTTATATGAACATGCTCTCTCTCCGCCATTCAAGCCGAGATATAGCAGAAGAATCAACTCTTCTTCGAGTTGCCCACCACCGGCGGACCACCATCTGTGCTTCTGACCGGCTCAAAATGTATTCTCTCCTATATTTTACATACTATCTGAGATCATCATCTTTCAACATGACCATTGTCACAGCTGCAAGCAATTCGTTTGAAATTCAAATATCTGGCCGCCTTCAGATGACTCTAATCGCAAGCGATCAGACGATTACGCAGGCCTGTGAAGGAGTACATCTCTCTCCATTTTTTCAGTCTCTCTCTGTCTCTCTCAGCAGAAAAAAAGATAGATGAATACTTTAAAAAACATTCAAAGTGCAAAACAGAAATAAATTCGACCTCAAGACTATAACATTCTTTCAGGATTGTCACCAACTCTTTTGGATAGCTCATGTTTCCCTGAGTTCTCATAATCTTTGCAACGACAAGGATTAAAAGTTCGGCTTGTCCTCATTGATAGAACCATTCGCGAAAAGGAAACTTGGCAACTTCATATGAATATGTCAACCATCTTAAGCATTACGGTGACGTTGACATCCAATTTCAAGGTAATTTCTCAAAAAATGTTTTTGATTTGCCGCCATAAGCTGACATCTCAAGTGCTTTCAAAAAATTAATGAAAATGGTTGCTTGATTTCTTATAGAGATCAAACTCTGTGAAAACATGGGAAATTCAACTTCGAAAGACCTTGGAACTTCGAAGAGGGTGAGATTAAAAAACTGATGAAAAAAAAAGAAGAAAAACACGTATTCATCAATGATTAGATATAGAACTTTGCTGGTTCGGAACTCAGAAATAAGAAAATGAAAATGAACGGCTAATAGAAGTTTTGATACGAGACGGTTGCGAAGATGGCAATCCTCCCAGCTGACCCATAAAGGTTTACCGACACTAGAGATGTTTGAATTTGGCGCCAGAATGCTTTCTGCTTAGTTGTCGTGAAGAGAAAATGTGAAGGAGACAGTTTAAAGAAATGGGTGACTTGAAACGAATAAAAAAAGGGCAAATTGAAGAAAAACGTTAGAATGAAATGAAAGTTACGGAAAACTGGACAATTTTCAACTGAAATGAGTAAGAGAATGGAAAAACAAGGTGTACGTAATATGGCGTGAAATGGCGTCGTTTCACGTGAAAAACGTGAGAGCTATAATGACGTCATCGTTCATTTTAATTTCAGTAAGAAGTCATGGAGGGTTGCATTCAGCTTTTTTTTCAATATTGATGGAATTAAAAAGATATTTGTAGACGGAAAACTTCCGCTTCAATTTCAAAGGTAAAAAGTTCTACAAAAGTTTTGCTAATTCAAGACAGAATGTCAGGAATGCGATAATCCTCATATCCATGTCATCTGCTGCCGAAATGTAATCGTAAATAGCTGAATTATTGTCGTTACCATGTCGGGATTATCTGGCCGTCTGCCAAGATTTGAATAGTTGACCATGGTATGCCCAGAAAGACTAGAAGATGGACAGCTGGACAGATTTGAATAAGCAATACAGACAATGAAAGAGATCGTAACAATTGAAGTGAAATGGATAAAAGAAAGTTAACATAAAAAAATAATAGGGCAAAAGAATCTGAATTGTTCGAGTCAAAATTTATTGAAAATTTGGTTGAAGGACATGAGTGCACCGGATGAATATTAATGAATGGCGATTTCGTTCGAGAGAGACTAAAGAGAGAGAGAGCGAGTTGATCGTAATGAACGAGAGCTTATCATATTGAGAAAGGCAATCGGTCAAAATGTGTTGAAGGAAATTTTCTATTCAAAAGCTTTGAGCATCTTGTTAAAAGAAGGTCACTTTATGTGAATATGATACGTCTTCCCCTCCCTATGCTTGTGCAACAGAAAGTAAGATATCTCTTGCGATCAAAACATAACGTTGAAATGAGAGATTTAGAGAAGGAGAAGCACGAAGAGGATGGTGAAGCAAGTCATTCGACAGCTCGAAGAGTCGGTCATTCATCAATGTCTGTCGGACAGACGATGCTGAGCGAAGAATCCCAAATATGGTTTCTGAATATATTCCTTCCTATTTTCCATCTCTCTCTCTCTCTATCTGTCTCTTTCTCTCTGTCTCTCGATATATCAAAAGAAGAATAAAGGTTATAAACTTTGAATCCCATGATTTTTGATATCAGAATATAGAAATACAAAAATAATAAAAAGAAGTGAACGGAACATTCAGCGAAACATACGATACTCCTGAGCATAACAAAAACTGGAGGAGTCTATGAGCCTTAGATGCATAAACATACTCAAATGGTAGAAAGCGGAGCACAAATGAGGTATAACGAATACGTCAGAAGAAGCTGAAGAAAAGAAAAAAGACAAGAAAAAAATGGGAAATTGGAAGAGAGTAGAAGTATATATAAAGAAAAAACGAAAGTTCAGCAGATTTAAAGAGAAATTACATTTTTTTTCCGATTCAAATTGTTCATCAAATCCCTATGTGAAACTCGATGATCATTCACAAAAACTACAAAAAGATAAACTGCCAGATGTATATAATACGCGCCGATTTGGTTTTTTTTTTTGGTTAAAGATTTATTTGATGTTTTTGGAGTGTGTGGTGAGGAGGACGAGAAAAAAATGATTTTGAAACACTTTTTCACCAAAAAAAACAGTCGGTGATCAGGTAGCGTGTAGCGCTTTCGTTTCGTTTCTCGTTCGGATCAGAGAGTCATCATCTGTATCGATTTGATATGTTATAGTTTATACAATCGGAGATAGGATGGTATAGTATCAGTTGCCAAAGGTTGTTATGAGAAACAAAAAAAAATCTTTTTTTCCTCTTCTTCCTATCCCCCTCCAATCCTATATGTATATCAATATGTGTATATGAGAGAAACATAAGGAAAACTTAATATTTCTTCACAAATTTTTCTTCCTCAATCAGTAGGCAAGAACATGGTAATTGTGTTTGGTGAAAATAGAATGTGAAGACAAGTGACGATCAGTTGAAAATAAATTTTTCCTTTTTTTCTGTTTCAACCAGACAGATGACGGCTTTATCATTCTTTTCTTGTCTTATTTCATTATATAATTTGAGCATAGTTTAAGGTGTTTCTTTTTTGAAATATGAAAGAGGAGAAGAAGAAGAAGATGAGAGAGAGAGAGAGGAAAAGACAAATTTTTTCTTGTGAATGTCCAGAACGTTGAATTCTGTTTTTTTGGAAACTAAACGATACATCATACATATGACAAAGCGTGGCACCAACAAATGTCAAAAACGACAGGTCTCTTCCTATGTTTGAGTGGAACAGAAAAGAAAAAGTTGTGAAGAAGAGCGAAAAAGAAAACAAAGTGATTGTTGGCATTATCTCAGTTTTTGTATTTTCTCTAACTTGCCCGACAACCTCATAATGGAGTGCCCTAAGGCTCTATAAGCATCCATCTCCAGGGACTCCATTATTTCAATGTTAAAAATGTCTGTTCTTCAAGATGTTTGCTTACTTTTGATTCCATTCTTCAGAAGATTCTCCAGATATTCCATGGAAGGAAGAGAGAGAGAGAAAAAGAAGAACAAGAATAGAAGGGAAATCAGAAACGATAGAAAACCTATCATTATTCCCAAGAGTACTCCGACAGCTTCATTTCGATTCTATCTTTATCTGTCGAAGAATGAAGTGAGAAATTAGAATAAATGATAAGAATTAGTGAAACAAAAATGTTTTTCCTTCCCAATATAACGAATCGTGTGGCTCTCTCACTCTTACTTCTCATGATTTACAGCTATATAAGGCTATGTGAGGGGTTTAAAAGCGTGAGTTGCGTGAAAAATTGTCGTAGGACACTAAGGAGAAAGATGAATTGTCCAAAAGAAAGTGCTTACATACAGCGGCATATAAGACCAAATAAGATGAAGCATTATATTCGATCATTGAAAGGAAAATAGAAGAGAATTCTGTCATTTTTTGAGTATTCTATGATTTATGATAACATAAGTTAAATATGAAACAGAAGAACGTGTTATAATTGAATTTCAGATGCATAGCATTGCGCGCGAAAGTCTTCAGAATTATCTGTACAGCTACAAGGAAACACCGAAAGAGGTACAGTATCAGTTACTTTCAAACAATAAGTGAAACGAAAAATAACAAAATACTTAAGAGAGAACATTAATTTTGGGTTATTTTGCTGAAAATGCTAGTGGATAGTTTAAAATTCAAAACATGATCAGTGAGTAAAGAGAATTGGAAATGATACGAGGTTGACTTCCGGAGATGCAGTGGAGAAAGATAAGTTGACAGAGAGACAACTTCAAGAGAAGTTTTAGAAGAATTATAAGGTTGAAGTTAAAAGACTTCACTCTGTTGATTAGTTTGCTTGAAACGACTCATTACCCTCCTTGTCGGACCGCAGACACCTCTTTTTCTCTTTTCCTCTCCTATCTTGAAAAGCTCTAAGAGCTCTGTTGCTTCCCTATCTTCATGAAGCTTAGAATGTCAGAGCAGTTCGAAATTAAAATTAGCAAGAAAAGTCGTATTTTGACTTATTCCAAAACAAAGTAATCCAAATGTTATCTACTTATCTTCCACCAAAAAAATATGTCCAAGTAGCTTTCTTTTTCAGCCGGGACTACCTTTGATACGAGATGCTAAGAAGAGTCAAGCTTTCTTTAAGATCTGTGAAGAACGTAGAGCTCGCAAAGCGTTAAAAGAAGCTGTGGTAAGTGTCCTAAGTGTGTTATACTCTGTTAGATGACCGACATTCTCATCAAATGCTTCAACCCAGCAGATTATAAAGAAACAATAATTAGGATCTCTCATATGACAGTTTGCACCCGGCAACAGATGCTTATTTTTTATTGATACATCCGAATACGGTATGAAGATGTGTGATTATTGACACACAAAGACTTCAATGCTATCGCGTGTCTGAAAATTGGAAGCAAAAATAATAAAAGAAAGGATGAACCCATTTTGTATCAAGAAAGTAAAACAAAGCATAACCCGAACTAGCAATCTCATCACCTTCCGATTGTCTATATCCGGTCATCACGTCACAACCTTTGTATTACAAAAATCAGGTGTTCATTATTTGTTAGAACAAGTACATGACAAAAAAATGGGTAAGATACAGCTGTTCTAACAATAACAAACAAAAGCATTCACTATATTAATGTACCTAGGTCGTTATAATCTATCTGCATAAAATAAAAAATTAAAATAAAGACTATTAAATAAACATTGCAAGACAGCAGTTTTTGAGTAGAATATGGTAAGGGGGTTGGGAGGGAGAGGTAAACGAGTACTGACGGAGAATTCTAATTTTTTTAAATTGCGCGGGAAGGGAAGCAGTCTTGTGTTTTTCATTTCTTGACATATTATACACAAGAGCGGTGGCATTTCTCATCAAAACTTAAAATATTTATTAATTTTGTATATTTAGGCTTGCAAAGTGTCTTTCGCAGTTCAATGTCATGTTAGTTATGATGGATCACTGGAAAACGAATGTCCAATTCATGAAAAAGTGGTGTCTTATCAAAAAAATGATTTTATTCATGTGTACAAAGTAGGTATTAATCCTTTGTATTCGTTATGCAATCCATAACAGTAGCACTATTTACTTAATACTTTAATAATAATGCTACCGTAATAAGCCCAATGATCGTTAACTTAATCTAATATTCAAATACATTAATTGGTGGCTCTATTGCGAATGGTATATTGAGTTAGTTATGAAGATGGCATCATGACCCTCATCACCTTGTACATACATGCACTTGACCGCTATGTGTTCAAATAATACACTCTACTCGCAATCATTCACTAATCCACCTTGTTCATTAGTCCATCTGACGTTTAATTTCTTTGTATGTGAACAGTCATTGACATAGAACGATTTTTTTGTCAAAAAAGGGATATTTTCAAAATACATTCTAGAAATTTAATCACGATTGGTGGATTGGCAGAATTGTCGCTGTGGGATCCACGATTGGATTTGTCCCAACTGCAAGAAGATTATATCGTTTGAAAGAAATTGTAGACACGGAAGAATCTCCAACACACATCTCAAAAAGTTCTTCGAGACAAGCAATAAAGCCGAAAGGTCGTTTTCGATCTTCGAGCACTCCAGCTACAGCAGCAGCAAGAGCAGCCGCGGCTACTGTCAGTGCTAAACAGAGATTGGTGTTGGTTTCATGGAAAACAACTTTTTCAATTTTTTCAATACAGAAGAAGCCAATCCCCTGTTTGGGAACTCCCATGTCCGTATACAGTGGTCCCTTCTACAAGACCGATTGTTTTGATGGGACCATGCAATCAAAGCTGTCGTCTGACAGAGCTGATGCATTCAGCTGTTGTGTATGGACAAGAAGAATTACTTATTATTTTGAATTAATTACAGATCAGCTATTGTTAAACAGTTTGGTTCTCGTGTCTGTCGTTTACCTACAGAGATAGGGGCTAAAGGATTGTCAAAACAAGAATACGGTATATAAATTAGACTTCTCTTGATTATCATAGAGGGTTGAAGTAAAGCTTACCAAACATTGAAATGAACAGATGCATCAAACAAAGATGCTCACTCTTGGAGCTATTAATATATATATATATATATAGTGAATATGTTAATCGTTTTCAGATTTGAATGAGAGAGAACTACGTTTGATTACTTCGCTGGCAGACGACTTACGCTTAGTTCTACTAGATAGTCCCAACTTGAATACACCGCCAGAAGTAAATGGGCTACAGCTTGCTCCTATCATCATTCTATTCAGAATAAAGAACAGGAAAGTAAGTAATAGGAGATTAACGATAATCGAAAGCTTGTCAGATATTAATCAAACTACTAAAGAAGAGTGTTTCTGTTGGGCAGAAACTTGGAGGATATTTAGCAACAGCTGATTACCTTAATACAATACACAATGATAAAGTGAGCATTAAGAAGTCATCGATAGCAAAAGCAGTTTTGAGGTGAACCTACTGATAGAAGATAATGGTTTACCGGAAGCAATCAAGAAGATAACGAACTATCTCGAAGACTATTGGAAGGCACTTCATCCAGCACATCCCTTATTGGAGGAAGAATATATGCGGAATAGTTGCTGATCGTTCTCGGAGAATATACTATAGGAAGCTACTAGAAGGTGTTAAATGTCAATAAAATTTTGAGAAACTAAGTGTTAACAACTCTGAATTCAAAGGAAAATTAAGATTGAAAGCTTGGATAGTTTCACCAGCTGTCGGTATCTTTATATTTCAAAGATATTGATAAAATATTCGGAAAGATGAAAGCATTCGATAGCCTACGACTTTCAACTTTCATTTATCAGACCCATTCGAAATATTTTTTTCTCATAGACTTTCTTTGAAAAAAAATGAGAGCATATGGCTCCAGAAAATCTTTATGTATACCGACCTAACATTTTTTTTCGGGAACTTTTGAAACAATGAGGTTACAGAATATATTTGAAGTTATATTTCAAAACATTCAAACAAAAATTGGTCTAAAGAAAAACAAGAGGTGTCATATTCAAATGGTACTATTCATACTGTTATCAAGGTCCAGTGCAGTGAATCAACGTCTCAATAGTTGAATGGCCTCAGATGAGTAACTGGCTGAGCGCTTACCTACATCTTTATCAGTTCACTATTTTGAACATTTTCATCTAAAACTGGTTTTACTACGAGTTTATTACCACTCCTTGAAATGTCGCGGCTGACGAATGAACGAACGTTTTGTACGCAATTTCGCGTTTTCAAACTTTTGTTCAAGTTTTTTTTTCGAAGTCTGAACATTCGGTTCAAATTTCAAGCATTTTGATTTTAGTAATGTTTATTACTTGAAGCTCTTGGTTATGAGAACTGAAATCATTAACTTACAGGAAACCATGGGTTGGAGAGAAAAACAAAACGAAAAGCTGAAAACCAAAAAAGTTTTGGTAGTCGGTGCTGGAGGTATAGGTTGCGAACTTCTGAAAAATTTGGTGCTAACCGGGTTCAAGAACATCCATGTGGTAATTAGTTGTATACTTGTTTAGTCTACCAAGTGATTTTAGATTGATCTAGATACTATTGATGTCACAAACTTAAATAGGCAATTTTTGTTTAGAAGAGAACATGTTGGGAAATCGAAAGCCGAGGTTAGGTGACATTGACAACTCCGAGATTTATTAATTACTTTACAGGTTGCCACTGCTGCAGTTCGCAATTTACAACCAGATGTAAACATCACATTCGACCACGGCAGCATATTCCAGTATGTTTTGTTGTTGTTTTCCACTTACATTTTATTTTGAAGAGAAGATTTCGGTCTTCATTTCTTCCAAAGATTTGATTTTGTTCTTAATGCATTGGACAATAGAGGTAAGATGGTTATTGATTTTCTGTATGCGTTCACGCTTTCCAGCTGCTAGAACACATGTGAATCGATTATGCTTAGCAGCTCGTGTTCCTTTGATCGACAGTGGATCTTCTGGTTATTCTGGACAGGTAGAATTTGATCAGACTCTCTCGTTATCCTTGTCTCTCACAGGTCACGAATATCATTCGTGAACGGTCAGAATGTTTCGAGTGCATCATGAAACCAGCACCGAAGTCATACCCTAGTTGCACTATTAGGAACACCCCCTCGGAGCATATTCACTGTATCGTTTGGGCTAAGCATCTTTTCAAGTGAGTTTCCACTCAACATACTAGGATATGTATATCATTTAGTCAACTATTCGGTGAAATTATGATCGATGATGATGTTTCCCCTGATCTTGAGGATGTTGATAAGGAAGCTGAAGGAACTGCAAGCAATGATACCGCTGAGAAGAACACCGATAAGAAAGAGACATCAGAGGGTTTCGAGCGTTTTCAAAGTATTTTTTTCACGCCTTTGTTTTCAGAGAAAGGTGGAACTCGTGCTTGGGCAGAGAAAGTTAAATATGATGGCTTATTGTTGTTCAAAAAGGTAAAGAAAGCAAAAGCAATTTATTTATTTTTGTTTGTTCAGTTGTTCTTTGATGATATAAGTTATCTTTTGAAAATGGACCATCTTTGGAAAACAAGACGCCCTCCAACTCCATTAACCGTCGAAGTTATTGAAGAAAAAGATGGTGGACTGTTCAAAGATACCCATGTTGGGGATGATGCTTTGAAGGTATATTTGTACTTATGCTTCTGCTCAATGCTTATTTCAGGTGTGGACTGCTTTAGAGAGTGCTCGAGTGTTCATCGATAGTATGAAACAGTTATACGATCGTAAAACTCAGCTTTCTGAAGATGCTATCTTGTATTGGGATAAGGATGATGACGATGCTATGAGGTTTGTAGCTAGTGCAGCCAACATAAGAGCAATAATCTTCAATATTAAAACGAAGAATGTTTTTGATATCAAGTGTGAGTTGTTATATCGAGTTCTTTCGTACTTATTGTTTCAGCTATGGCCGGTAACATCATTCCTGCTATTGCAACAACAAACGCCATGGTCGCAGGAATGATTGTAGTTGAAGCTCTTAAATATGTTAACGGAAACATCAATGAACTTCAAAATGTATTCATCCGATCTCAGCCCAATCCCAAAGGCCAGGTTCGATTTACTTTTTCTTCGTTTTTTCAAAGTTACTTCAGGTTTTATGTGCGCAAATTTTGGAGAAGCCAAATCCCAAATGTTTCGCCTGCGGAGACAAACGGGAAATTTTTGTTCAAGTTAATACTAATCTTATGACGATCAAAACATTAGAAGATGTGGTAGCGTTTCAAAAAAGATTGTCATTCATATTTTTGAGGATTCAGGTTCTTAAAGGCGCTCTCTTAATGCTTTCGCCCGATGTGATGGAAAAGAACAACTCTCGAATTATTATCAGTAGTGAGGAAGGCGAGACAACAGGTTTGAGGACAAAACGAAGAAGAAGTTTCAAATCCCTTTCAAGATTTGCAAGGAAAAACGTTGTCGGAAATGATGATCACTAATGGTGTGATTTTGGCTTGCGATGATTTCCTTCAAAAGTTGGAGTTCAACTTGTTCATCACACACTCGGATAAGCTTACGCCAAATGAGTATGAGGTTTGTTCATCTTTTTTTTAATCATAATGTTGAGGAACTGTTTCAGATCCTTCAAGATTCCTCGGCATCCGAAAACAATCCTGTTACTCCTTCCAAGGATGAAACTATGGATGAAGATACCAAAGATAGTAGAAAGAGAAAGAGTGTTGCTCCTACAGACCTCGAAGAGATTTCGAACAAGAGGAATAAGTTGGAGGTTTCGTGAATCGTCTGTTCACCACATTAATTAATTGATTCCGTTTCTGTTTTTTGTGCATTTTTGTTCTATAGAGTGCTCTCAGTGCTCAGCATGATCTTCGTTAATATACGTGTGAAGTTTATTTCTCAAATGTTCTTCTTCTCAAGCACGGGTCCTCTTCCCACTATATATTTCGCTGCTCATCGTATTTGCTTAAATCTCCTATTGATACAGAATGTCACCAGATGTAGATGATGAAAACGAATTCTGTGATGATGATGTCATTGGATGTCTCCCAAGACAGTTACCGGATATGCACAGAGAATTGTTGGAATCCTTAGTAGAAGCTATACCTACTTTGTCAGATGAAACAAGTCAGCAGGTGCTTAAAACTCTTTCAAACTATCTCACTTTCTATTCGCCAGAATAATGAGTCTCGTTTTCTTCACATTATTAAAGTCTATCAATTACAACCTGCACTACTAGATGGCGTCATTCCTCAACTTATTGAAAAACTCTTGTCCTTCGTGGATCTAAGTGTTCCGGGTTTGCCTTTCTTGTCATGTATCAGAAGGTCCATTTTTTCTAGCTGATAGCTCGTTGGCCATTGATTTGAAATCAAGCTTGGCTTTTAAGCGGCTTGCTTATATATCTGACGTTCGGGGCTACAAAACAGTCGTTAGACTTCTTCCTCATACTGTGAGTGAGAACGTATTAAAGCTTTTTATTATTCCTCTTAGGTAACATATCTGGATAAGATTTTAATAGCTCTTGAGCGTTTATCAGTAGCTAGTTCTTCTCTTGAGTTCTACTCGAGGCGAATGCTGTTGCTCTGGCTTTGGATTGTTTGTAAGAATCCTTTTGACTTGAGAAGGTGAAGCCACTTCTTTTTTCTTTTCAACGTTCAGTTTCAGGTTTGATCCTCAAGATAGTCCGGGAAAAACAATGCAAAGAATATTTTCTGTAACAATGCCTTATTTATCCTCTCTTGTCATTATGCATCAAGTATGTGTTATTAATTTTATATGGGCATTTCAATCTATCGTTCAGTACCAAGCTGCTCTTGTCATATCTCAGTGTCTAGCTCGATCGGATGGGGTTCATCTGATAGAGGAAGTTTTAACCAATCAATTCAATTATTTGAGTCAATCTGCTTCCTGTGATAAACTTCTCGGAAGTTTATTGCTCACGTTATCTGTGCTCAAACATGTAATTTACGCTATGAGAAAACAACATTCATGCTTATGTTGTTCAGGTAGAAAGGAAACATATCATTGACTTTGTAGAGCCCTTGATGAACGAAGTTTCCAAGGCATTTCCTCTAAAGTCGTCAAGTGAAATTGTAAGAAAATCAATGGTGAAAATTGTGCAGCGATCAGCATTGGTTCTTCTCAAACCAAAATTAGCAACATGGAGATATAGGTATCCTTGTGCATTTTGGCATAAAACTTTTTTGCGGTAGGCGTGGTCGACGACGAATTGAAGACAATCTTTCCCAAGGAAATGACTCAGATGATGACTGCAAAGAGAATCAACCCTCTCAAGGAGTTGTTAGAGAAGAGGAAGATGACAATGATAACATTCATCCTCTGGTATATAGTAAATGTTCAATGTTTATTTTTTAAAATTCATCAGATCGAATTCTGTCTAGACTGTGTTCTAACCAGTCTATCGGATGATAGTACCATAGTCAGATGGTCTGCAGCGAAAGGAGTTGGCAGGATTACTGCAAGATTGAACAAACATTTAGCTGTGCAAGGTATGCGAGTTTTTATTAAATGTCTGAACTTATTCTGTTTAAGTTGTGGAATCGATCATGTCAAGAAGTTTTCATCCCCATGCTGGAAATGGCGCTTGGCATGGAGGTTGTATGGCTTTGGCAGAGTTGTCTAGAAGAGGCTTCCTATTACCAGAGCTTTTGCACAAGGTTTGTTAACTGATGTACCAAACGTGGATACTTGTTTTAGGTTTTTCCTGTTGTACGTAAAGCTCTATTCTATGAAGAACCCATGGGGCGACACGTGCTTGGGAATAATGTTCGCGATTCCGCCTGCTATGTTTTTTGGGCTTTCGCTCGTGCTTACGAGCCGACGGAACTTCGTCCTTTTTTGGATAAAGTTGCCACCAGTCTTGTGAGCTAGTAAAGTGTTTTCTGTTATAGTGGTTTTTCAGATGTGTGTAGCTCTATTCGATAGAGAAATAAACCTGAGGAGAGCAGCATCTGCAGCATTCCAAGAAAATGTAGGCCGGCAGTTGAATTTTCCAGACGGAATAGCTCTTCTGACTTTGAGTATAGTTGAATTCGTAAAACTTAGACCAATATTACATGGGTTGCAGTTGACTTCTTTGCTGTTGGGAAAAGAGCAAATTGTTTCACAAAACTATGTGTTGAAGTTGTACAGTATCCCAAATATAGGGACGACATCATAGATCATTTAATTGAGTATAAGGTATGATTGAGCTTTATAATCTCATTCTTTAATCATTTTTTAAAGATAGTGCATTGGGATCCTGTGATTAGAAAACAAGCAGCAACCGCATTAAATTTGATGGCACCTCATCACTCGGCGTACATTTGTTCATGCCTTCCTAAACTTCTTGCGGGATGCACTCATACAAGCCCAGTAAGCAAAGTTTAAGAAATTAAATGAGCATATACTCTTAGATCAAACGGCATGGGTTTGTTATGGCGACAGCTCACTGCTTGAAAGGGCTGTTGGACGCATCGTATAAATCTGAGATTGTTAACGAAATCTTAAAAGAACTTGGAAACATTCCAGCAAATCTTCATTCGGAAAGCGAAAAGCTGAAATCTTCGGGAGGAGAGTTGACGCGGTTCTCTCTCTTGGAGTTTATGACTGTACTTTCACGTGCGGCAATAGCATTGTCGAGCGAACAGGTTAGAAAAAAGGTGTTTTATTTTCTAAATGAGTAAATTTAAGGTTATGCATTGGGCATTGTTGATTGAACAAATGGCTAAAGATAGTGAAGCTAAAGTTCGCGAAGCAGCAAAAGTTGCCAGTTCTGTTTTCTTCCCTACCTATTTTGTTCAAGAACAGAACGCTGAGATATTGCATAGTACACAGAAGAGTTTTGAGCATCAGGTATGATGCTTTATGCATATCCGATATATAACCACCCTCTTAGCTTACGTCACTCTCCATTGAATACCAAGCTCTGGGTTTATGTAATATTGCAAGATTCATTCCATCTAAACTGTTCACAAATGATTTATACAACACAGTGTCTAAACTTGTTCTAGAGTTAGTTTTTTTTTTCAGTTTCGTTCGTTATAAAAAGTGCTTTAGACCTGGCAGCATAGATAAAAAATGGGCTATGATGAGGGCAGCTGCTGTGGAGACTCTGACTGACGTCTATCTTGACTTTGCAAACCCAGAATGGAAGGATAAGTGTTATGAGAGTATATTCAAAGGGTTAGGCGAGTACACCGAGGACAATACCGGTGACATAGGCAGAAAAGTAAGTTGGAAACTAGCTTGAATCAGGGCATTTAACAAATTAGGTTCGTGAAATTTCTCTGAAGTGTTTGGCGAGTTTATTGATCCATCCTTCCACAAAGGATGACGATCGAAAACACTATATTGTAACATCTGTTGGAAAAATGATACAACAAAGTGCCGAACGAATCGGAGGAACAAGACAGGTTACATCTCTTCTTGTTCTGAATCCTTAACAGCCCATTTTAGTGTGCCTGTGAAGCGATACGCGTAATTATAACATGTGAAGATACAAGGAAGTTCGTACCACATGTCGAAGATCTAGACTTATTGTATTCGGATAGTTCCCTCTTCACTCATGTAAACTAGTCTTTTGAGTGCATTTTCTTATTGTCACCGTTTAGGATAATGTACTGCTTTCACTTTCTCCTATCCTCTTCTGCGACGAGTACTACGAATTCTTGGTCCATGGTTTGATGATATCTGCAGGCAAGTGATTTATCTAGTTTCTTCTCATTTGTGAGTTTAGGTGGATTGAGTGATGTTACAAGTAAACACGCTTCTCAAGTTATATTGGAGTATTTGAACATTATTGGAGATGACGTGACTGTAAGAATAAACTTTTTATTTATTTATCATTTTTTTATTTTAGTTGGTCGAAAAGCTGTTGAAGACAATATCTGATATGTTGTCCAAAGGAATCAAAGTAGTCAGAATACGAGACTGTGTTCTTAGGTTCTTACCACAGGTTTCTTCAGAGCTTTTGTTTTTCACACTGTTGTATTTTATTTGCAGCTGTTGTGTAGATTGCCTAACGATATTCGAGTCATTGAATCATCTCCATCTCTTTCTGAAATATTATTAATAACTGAAAAGGTTTTACCTCTACTTCTGTCCCTTTCTAGAAACAAAAACTTCAGATTGTGAAAGCCCGTCTAGGAGCTCCTTTCAGAATAAGACTAGGGTTGGAAGCATTCTCCGCTCTTTTGTGTTTGCCCCAATCATCGCCTTTATGGACCCGTTCTGTAAGATTGGTGAGCTTAAATATTCAAACTTGTTTCAAAAAGTATGAATTTCAGTTAGCCAGCTCTCTATCTAATCATATGCCAGCAATAAGGAGAGCAGCGGCTGAATCGTTATATGAAGCATTATGTGTTCTAGAAATTGACGAAGAAGTTCATACTCGATGACTTAAAGTTATGAAATGTTCTGTTTTCAGATTCTTGACCTACTTTGTCAGACAGCTTGGCACGATACCAGCAATAACGAAGAAATCATGACAAAAGCTGCAAGAGTTCAAACATTGTTTAACAACATAATTTAAATACTTTGATCTCAAGTTTGTAATATAAATACTTTTTTGACTCTTCCCGTTGTAGTTCTTGTGCTTTCAAGAGTTTAAGCTCCTTTATATTCATATTATATTCTACAAGTGCTGCCCAGACTTGAACCATTAATACTCTAGATGAGTGAAGAAGATCAGTTGTTTAAAAATATGCGTTCTGTCATAATGATTGTTAGTTCCAAGGGCCCGTGTACGTCTGAAAAAGTTGAAAAAAAATACAAGTATTTTGTCTCTTTTGTTATATATGCATAGCGTTTTCTAGTGATACTTTTGGTGAATCTACCGAAGATTTGATGAAATGTGGCTTCAACAGCTTTAGAGATGTGTTATCTGAGATGATACGACAGAAAATGGTTAAAGAGCAGGTTTTTGTTTTTCGGAATAGTCATGTAAAATATTTCCGTTCAGGGAAATCTGCTTTCATTAACAAACATAAATGGAATGACTACTGCTGCTCGTAACATTCAGTCATCTTTATCCAATAGCAAAGGTAAAAGGTGTCACCGAGCTTTCATATCTATTTTCAGCCTCAAGCTACAAAAAGTTAGGTAGCTTAGCTGGACGAGGTATTTTTATATTATTTGAGTCGTTAACATTTTTTCTTCTCTTTACAGAGAGCCAAATTAAGAGCTACCGAACACCCGGTCCTCAAGGAGGCAATTTTAATCCGAAAAGGTTCATTTCAAATAAGATTGGTGATTGAATGAAAAAGATTTTTAGGCAAGTAACACCGGCGGCTCAGCCAGTCGAAGCTTATGTACAAAAAAGGTTTTATTTTCCAAGAAGCAAAAACAAAGTAAATCTTTCCAGGCAAACGGAGTCCCGGTTTACTGCTCCCACAATCCATAGAAGTGTTCCACCCCCACCTAGTAATTTTGCTCCTGTTCCTCCACATCTTAGTACGTTATTAATTATTACGGAGCACTCCTATTTTTAAGACTACCCAGAAATACCTTCTCTGAATGGTCCCAACACAAACTTAACTAACGTAAATATGGGCCCGCCACCTGGTTTAGCTGCCGTTGCTGGAATTAAATTTATTTATGAGGTTCGCTTTTCACAGTTTCACTTTCCACTAATGCTGTTTCTCTAAGAAGAGGATGATTGCGATGTTGAAGGAATGTTTCCCTTACGGACTGTCTCTTATAGATGTTGTAGAGAAGATGTTGGTTATAAAAATAGTTTCCAAGTTTTCATTGTATTGCTTAATAGTGATGTGAGTAGCATCAGCCCTCAGTTAAGTCATCGAGAAATCAAGGATGTTCTGATCCATTCGGAACATGTGTTTTATGAGCCCTCCGAAGAAGTAAACAAAATTTTCTTGTAATATTTCAATATGAGCTCCTAGATATATTATGGCCGACCTACTATCGGAGATGACGAACTTTCCAACGATCTCATCCAAAAATTTGTAAGTTTACCTAGCTGTTTTCAATTTGTTTTTTACCTAGTAAATATTCTTCAGGTCTATGAAATACTTGCTGAACTGAAAAGATCAGTGAGTCTTGATGAGCTTAGTGGAAGACTCAACGTAATGTCGTCAAGTTATAATGATCCTAGAATGAAAATTTTTGAAGCTTTAATAGAGAGTAGTGTTATAGATTACGAAGGAATTAGGCCAGGCAACAGCTCTCCCTTGAGACATTTTCATTTAAGACATCGTTTCAGACGTTTTATACTTCATAAGGCCACCCCAGGAACCTACCAAAACAATTTCGTACGCAAGTGTCTCCAAGGCTCTAGAGAAAATGGATTTTGCTGATGGTTGAAATTCACCACGATTTCATAATTATTCCTGTTTTTTGCAGAAAATGCTGGTCCACCCGTCATCGATATTTTGAAAGATTGGACTGACGTAATTTTTCAGTAATAGTAATACAATTACATGATATTTTAAGGCTTTGATTACGGACTTTCGTGATTTCACTTGTTTCTCAGTGCGCTTTGCTTCGAAGGAAAGATGTTTCCAACAAATGCGTGAAGAGCTCTCGTATGTTAAGACTATCATCGGAGAATAACGGATGATTTAGAAAATACTGTGAATCCATGACAAGTTTTAACTGTGTTCACCTACGAGTAGGTGATGCTGTTGCCGTGAAAAATGATGGCGAATGGCTTCGCGCTGAGGTCCTGTACGGCGGTGATGCGAAAATGGTTAGTAGATGTCAGGGTGCCTGACTAACTCATTTTACAGATACTTCTACGCTCCATAGATGTAGGATACTGCTTTTATGAGTATCTGCCCTCAAGAAATGTGATGTTTCTACCAAAACAGTTCAGAATTGAAGCATTCGCTTACTATTGTAGCTTGTACGACATTGATGAATGTGATGTAATAACTCCAAGTGTTCATTCAAAATAATAGTTTTGTTATAGGAAGAAGAATTAACATACTACGCGGATCTGGTAAGAACAGACGTCGATGTAAGTATACTGTCAATCAGTCAACTGGCCGAAAGGGCTCATTCTGTGAAATTATTGCTGCCGAGGGAGAAGAAACTACTTCCTGATGATTTTTTCTCATATGTATGTAAAAACTAAATCATAACTCAATTTCATATACTTAATGTTTTATTCTTTGTCAATTTTGAGATGATAAATAAATATAACTGATAAAACTTTCCAACTTTTCTTTGGTAATGTTTAATTTGAATGGAATCCTTTTACTCGTCGTCATGTAAGTAGCCAAATCTGATGCGGTATTATTAAAAGTGTCAATCTCGTCTGTGTGATGTAATATAACATAACAGCCCATTGAGAAAGAAGCTTCACACAACGAATCCTTCCTTCCATCTAAAGAACACAGCTATATTTTGCAAAATTTTGTTATTTACATACTGTTAATACGGTTGCTGTGAGCGAGTAGTATACTTAATATGAATATACCCATACGTGGAGGGAATGAGGGCGAAGCGTACAGCAACAACTTCGGACAAGTCATGCCTATCACTTTCGATAATGAAGACACATTCTTCACTTCCGCTGGTAAGTCAGAGACATTTGCCAATAAATGACTTAATCGAAGATGAATTCAACGCTGAGAAGTAATCTTACCGATTTGAAGCTTCCAAAGCTCTAAATAACTGAGTGGCACGAAGTCTCCCGTGCTCTTTTTTCGACTGAAGAAGGATCGATTGCAGAAGTGTGAACTGTCCAATCTATAAGTTACATTCATAGAAGACCATTATGAAAATAGATGTAAACTAATTCCTTTCCAATTTCAGTAAAGGTTATAAGATCTCAACTGACTTATCTACTAACCTTCGAAATTTCATGAACTAAGCTACTTTCTGATACCAAAAGCTTAACAATATTCTCGAAATTCTTCGATTCGATGATTGGAGTATGGGGTTGGAACCCGCCGACGGTTGATGCGATCAGCCTTGCTTTCTTCGCAAAACCTTAACCAATATTTTAAAGACAGGAGCATGATTTTACACTTACAGCTCAACAAATCCTCGGATTCCTTACTCATTCGCTGAACGAAGAGTTGGGTTGCATGTATTGGAATCCAATCCTGGAAAGGTGATTAATAGAAAGAATGAAAAAATATCAGTCAATTTACTTCAATCATGTTCGTATACTTAACCGATAAACAATCAACGCCTTTTCGATCTCTCCAAACCATATCGTTTTCAGAGTATACAGTTTGCCTGAAGAATCATATAGTTCTTCCCTGTAGTTATGACCCACCCAGGATCCGAACTCTTCATCAAATGGTTGTATATCAAAGTGAATGCCGATATTGGACCTTTTTTTTGAGTTGGCTGGAACAATGTATGAGATCAAGTATAATCAAGATAAAATTACTGTTGTTGATGCCAAATCAAAAGACTCCATGAATGAGGCAAGCTCTTCACGCCACAACTCATACCCATTCATGCCAACATGATCGCACATGTAAATGAAAGCTCGTTTGAAATTTCTTATAGTAGCTGTCAAGTTCGAAACGATAACTAAATGAACGCTTATCAGAAAAATGCAATGTGATGCATATATACTTTCCAAGTTCGAGTTCTTGTCTTTCTGCTCTTTCTCACTGACCAGAACCAGTTTAGGTATTTCAACTCTAAGTTCTCTGCGTATACCTTCTTCGAGAAGTTCCTAAACGTTAAAACTGTTTAGCCAATCCCATGCGGCAGTACCTTAGGGTTTATATCAATTTTCCCAAGCTTCCTTATTGATAGCTTTGAGATTCCTATGCTCATATTAGATATGTTATAAGTTACTTCAGATAACGAGAAGTTCTCATTGAAATCCGCCAAATCTCGAACCTGGTATAACGAAATACTTCAAGTGTGGTGGTAAGCCTTACTGTTTCTTTTTCTATTGATGGAGCCCATTCTTGTTGAACATGCGGAACAACGTTCTCATGCAGAACTTCAAACAGATGATGAGGAATAGATTGCAGAACGTTTCTCAGTCTTCTTTCCAAATAGCACGAGTATGCTCTTCCAATCAAACTGAATCGAGAAGTTTTATATTCCTTTGAAAAAAGGTCTCACTCTTTTCGGTATTCACCATGAAGTGTTTTTGTGACACTATCTATAGATAAAGCCAGTTTCAGGAATAAAACTTGAACCAATTCAGATCGAGTTGATTTCAGTATCTTATCTTGGATTTTACTCAACCATTTGTCTAAAACAACGGAGAAAGTTAAATCAAAATTTTGAAAAAAAACCTATGAGAGACCATATGTAAGGAGCATCAGCCGCTTTTGACAAACGCTTTTCTCCGTCTTCTGTCGTCGCTAACCCAACCGATAAAGCTTCCAAATTCTTTTTAACTTTTTCAATAAAATGAGCCATCGCAAGGTTCTCCCCCAAATCCAGCATTTCTCCGACCTAAACATCATACTACTTCAGGAGCATGCTTGGACTCTAGACTTGTATGAAACGCCGTCTTATTTGTTGAACTAGGAGACTGTTTTCAGAATCGTCCAAATTCAAATTGCTTAGAGTATCTTTGATAAGCAGTAGCCAATGATGTAACTTCTCTAAAATCTTGCAAATATAATTCATAGCCATAATCTAATCCAAACCTCGCTTTTCTACTTTGATTACTTGAATTCCAGAGTTGAAGAGCTCCGCAATTTCATTGATAATCCGGCACAGCTCTTCACGTATAGTTCCTAAGTTTTGTTGTTTCTGACGAATGTATTGTGAATAAATCTTCAATACAAGAACATCATCTTAAAATCTACTTAGAACACTCTGACCTTCCCTACTTCTGTTTCGAAACAAGCTAATCTTAGAACAACATCCAAAGCCTTCTCTTGAAATTTAGTCGCCATTGAAATTTGTTCTGTATAATCTCGTCCTAATCTCTCAATAGACTTATCTAAGATAAAAGGATTCTGTCTTTAGAACTTATTATTAGAAAAACCTGAATGCAAAACCATCCACTGATATGATATGTTATATCTTTGAATACATTCTATGTATGCTTCGAACTTCTCCGGCTTTATATCTTTCTGAAGGTTAGAACAGCTCAACAGTGATATCCATAAACAAACCGTGAAAACAGAGAGATCACTTATAACAGCGAAATGTTCTTTGCAAAGCTCCTTTATCTTCTCATTTGTGAAATGTCGGTAAAGTGCATTACTTGCGGCAGTACAATCAAACCATTCCTCTCCGATGGAGACATTGATGCCCACTCCTAATGGAAAAACCTGGATGAGCACCAGCTGTTACTTGCTCAGAATGATTATTTACCCAATTTTCTTTGAAATAATTTTCAACATAGAATTTCATACGGGCATGATCATTATAGCGAAGTTTGTGCGAGAAAAGTAGACAACAGAAGAGACTAGGTTGAAGAATGTTCCGCAAACGTTTTAAATCGTTTTCTTTTTTCTGAATAGCAAAGGGTATCAGTACATAATAGATTTTGGACTCACTCGTCGGACAACAGCTTCGAAAAAGTACAAGCAGTTATTCACAAACGTGGGGTCGATTCGAACTCGACTATGATGAATGAATGAATGAAGAGGAACAGAATAGCATATCTTACTTGTACATGTACTCCCCCAGAACCAAATTCTCAAAAGCACTAATTTCTTGGCGGAGAAAATCAACGATGAAGTCAATGTTTCTTCTCTCATCACTGAACAATGAATGTTATTTGTACCTTTATGGTAATACCTATTTCTATAAATGGCCACATATAGTCTTTCTCTCGTGGATCCATCTAATAAACGATTGAAATAGTACACAAGCATTCCCACCTTAGCCAATGCTTCAACTTCCAATTCTCTTGTGAAATCTAATGATGTTTTTTGATGTTCTGATATCACTTGCTTAGAATATCTATATAGCATTCTATTGAATGGAATAACTTTTAGCTTGCCAACTCTATGAATCCTGATAGCAAGTTTCCTACAGCTTGGAAAAGCATTTCAAACCGAGAAAGGACATCGGAGTGTTTTGTGTAAAATTCAGTTTGTAATGCCTGGAACATTTAGTTCTTAACTATCATACCAGTATTCTAAACCTCATGTTTGGTTAATTCTTTCTCGTAATATTCTATTCGAGAGAAGTACATGAAATCAAGCAGAATAGGCTTGAATTTCGATTTTCCTGGTTCCAGTAGATCATGTGGTAAAAAGTCAGAGAGTCTTAATGTCTCCGCAATTACCGATTGACATTCATCGATGAAGTCAAGTAAAAATATATCGCAAGCACCTCCTTCCGTGAGCGAATCATCCATTTACAATTATACAGTCACTGGAAGATAATCAAGAATCAGTTGACTTTTTATAACTAACGTGACAATTTTGAAATTAGACAATTACTCTTTTTAGTTCTTAATATACAGACGCTACATAAATGCTAAAGAGGTGGGACGCAAAAACCATCATGTATACGTGAAAAGGCGGCTGTGTTCTCTAACATACTTGCGGACTTTGATAACCTTATGGTTCTGGCCTTCAGCACGTTTGAAGTTTGTCGACCAAATTTCATTCTTAATTTATCACATAATTCCTTCTTTTTCGTTTAGTTACTAGTTTTAATTAATCATTACTATTCAGAAATAGGCAATGGCTGCGGAACTCAAAACCCTCTCTTCAGACGATGTTGCTTCTCACAACACTCCACAGTCTTGCTGGATTATATTAGACAATAAGGTGAATATTTTGAATTTGCAAATTATCGATTGAACTCAAGTTCAGTGCGTCGTTGCTATGATCACCCATTCGTTGTTAGCTTTCGTACCTACTATTGCAAAATTTCGTTCTTCAGGTTTATGACGTCACTAAATTTTTGGAAGAGCATCCTGGTGGAGAGGAAGTTATAACTCAATTAGCTGGACAGGTTTTCTTCTTTATATCTCTGGTTTATTATTTCTCTTGCTTTGCTAGGATGCCACGGACGCTTTCAATGATGTAGGACATTCCCGTGATGCCAAAGAAATGGCGGAAGAGTACCTTATAGGTATAACTTCCTCATCATCTGATTAATATTTTTGTTTGAAGGACAATTGGAGAAAGATGCTTCTCCTGCTGCTGCTGCTGCAGTACCGGAAGCTGCTGAGAAGCCAGCTAAGGCATGCGGCTCATCTTTCATTGATGTTGTTACATCACCTACATGGTCAAACTTCTTGATTCCCACTGCGATCGGACTTGTCGTTTATGTGCTTTATAGAGGAGCTATGAAGTTGATGGCTTAACTTATGAATGAACATGTGATATTAACAGACTCGTAAAGATAATTACTCGATTTTCCTACTTGAACTATGCGGTTATTGTTCCTCGAATACTTTTAGATAATGATTTCTTAAATATATGTTTATTCAATCTAGTTTTCTTCAATTCAATGAATCGAGTGCTGAAGTACTGTAATGAATTACAAAAAGAATATGAAGTTAATGATGTCAATTCAGCCAAGGCCACTGCTTATCGTCACAAGTAAGTTGCATGTTTATGATTTAATCAAATTTGAATAGACTTCTTCGAATCCTTCGTCAAGTAGAGGAAGATGTTGATAGTCGGAAGGCTTTACTCTACTATTGGAAATGCGCGTATTACAACCCTTTACAGGATATGCGAGGAGCTCATGTTGTTTCATTTCCGGAAAATGTTGAAATATTAGTAATATTTAAGGACAATGTATGGTTTGCTATGATGATCAATGTGTTCAAAGGGGAAATACATTCTCAGTTGGCAACTGATACTAGACATGCTGCTCTTTACAACCTTTTCCTTGGTGATTTAGTCAGGTAAGCTTTTGATAATTGTGCTCTTCCCTTAGTTTGACTTCACAGATATTCTGCTAATCCAAAGGAAAAAAACTCAACTATTACTCTGGCTAGATTGCATTATAAGAAAGCAATTGAAGCGAATCCTGACCTAGGACAAGCATATAATCAACTAGCCCTTCTGGAGAATTCTCATCTTTCATCTATCAGGTGTGATTCCTTTTTTTTTTGCCCTTGTTGTTACAATCACTTCTATTTTTAGATATTTTATTTTATCATTGAGCGCCGGAAACCCGTTCCGCACTTCCTTAGAGAATTTGAAGAAGAAACTACAGGAAAAAACAGAGCCCCACCTCTTAGTAACTGTTAAGAGTCTATTGTCTTGGATTTTCATATATCATGGGTTCGCGAAATTTTCTCTCTCTTCTTAGCGTTCATTCTCAGCTCAAATATCGATAAGATTGAAGAGGAGCTACGAAATATAGTGGTTGAGTCAGATGATCCTCTGCTCTTAAAAAATCTTCCACTAGCTCTCAACACTTTAGTTTTGGTCAGTAACATTGCAGAGGAGTACAGTATGATCTGAATGCTTGCCGTATTCTAACTCTCTTCGTTTCCAGACAACTGCTTTCTCAAGCTTTCGGCTTGTCTGTGCGACATATTGATGCTCTTGCTTGGTAAAGTTGTCACATATGAGGAAGAGGTAGACCGGATAAACCTCCCCCCCTTTCTGTATTACTGATATTGACAGGAAGAAGTTTGTGTTTCGAGAAGAAGACGAGATCAGACTTCCGATGATGAAGATTCAAGTTCTGAAGAGGAGAAGGAAGACGGCGAAAAAACAGATGATGACGACTCCTCTTCAACCAGGGTTCGCATTAATTTGTCTGAATCTCTTGAAAAGTCTTTTAAAGGATGTAGACAAAAAAGGAAACGTCTGGCCACTTTCCGTGTCTTGTGAATGGCTCTTAATAGTTTATGCTAATTTAGAGAAGTTGAAGGAAAAAGATGTACCTATCCCTGCTGCTTTTTCGAATGTAACTCCATTCGCTCAATCTTATTACATAATATTCGTTTGAAGGCTTTAGATCAATTCCTTAATAGGTTAATGGAAAAACTGAATAACCTCATTAAAGTTCTGAATATAAGTATCGAAGAAGAGTTCGAAGAGACTGAATGGCTTCTTAATGGGCCCGTGTTAGGTTTAGGAGAAAAGTAGTTTATCGGCTTAAATCTTTCATAACATTTCATTCTTCCAGCGCAGCCCGTTGTTTGAGACAAGTGTCATACTGGGCGGCAATTTTGTCAGCTTCGGACCTCTCCCCTGTTGAATTTGTTGGATATTTTCGACGCAAACGACAAGGATCTGGTAAACAAGATGTCTTCCGAAAAATGGCTGAGTTACGAATAAAGGAATCAGTCAAGGCGGTACGAATAATTGCAATTTCAATGGTTCAACTCGGAAGTTTGAAAGCTGTGAAAGAAAAACGGGGGGATAAATGCTACTTTCGGACATCTTGAAAAATGACATGAACAGAATTTGGAATGTTTCACATCATTTCATCGTCAATTATCCGTTGGAATTGTACTTAATGATGCATAGAATTCTGTTATGCGCTTTTCCTCCTTCAAACGACACTCTAGCTTGGCTTACTTCAATTAGTTTGATAATCTTAGCCTTAATGGAAGAAGTGAATGAGTAGATACTCTGAGGATTTGTGTCCCTCAAACGAAGTGATAATTAGTAAATCGAAGGCATTTCGTCTTCAGTAATCGGCCTTTGTCCCTAAACGACCTTGTTAATATTGGCGGCTATGTGTGGATGATCATAAATATACACTGATTGCCGCATGTTTACCTTGTCCTACAGTTTGTCGGAATTTTTTCATAAAAGCCTCCGTATTTATACCATCTTCTCTTTGAAATCTTGATGAGGAATTGTAGATATGATGAGTTTTAAGTGGCTGGGAAGTTAATTCGAAGCGATTCCCTTCTTTTGATCTTGAGAAGAAGGTTGTCTTAATTCCGATTCATATTGTCTTAACTCCCTTTCTTCCATAAAATGAGGATTGATTGATATGTATTGGTCATCGTGGTCGCTACATAAAATTGTCAACTTGTGGTTTGTGAGAAAAAAGAAAAAGTGACATTTGCAACAGTAAAAGTGTGGTAGAAGACAATCTCATATAAGGAAGAAGGAATGATAGAGCTCTGAAAATAGACCTGTTCTTTCAAGGTTACCCCCTTGGGGGTCTCACTTTTCCACCCTCCTCCTCACTTTCGGCAGTTATTCCATATTTGACGAGAACGAAGGCGATTTAATTGGAAGAAGAGCTTGAACACATTAATAAATGCAATGGGTGTCAATACATAATTACCAAGATCATCCCTGTCCATATGGGGAAAATTTCATGAAATTAGCTCTTACACTAATGTATTTTCGAGCTTTCGTCGAGTTGAATCGGTAGATTACTTTATAATTGATTAATCTCTTTCTCAGACTGTCGACAACGAATGGCTTCCTCTCTATATTGTTTTGGATTATAATGTTCTCATTGACCATCTTCCAACACTTCGGAAATTTTTGAAAGCGCATATGCTCATTGCCATCTTGCCATCTTTTGTTCTGGCACATCTCGACAAAATGAAGGTACAAGTATTAATCAAGCTTCTGAAAATTGTTTTCTAGGGGACAAGTCCTAATATAAGAGCAGCCATGCGGTTTATCGAGCAAAATCAGAAGTCGGATGATTTGCGAGTAGAAAAGGCTAGTTCTCATGAGGAATGTTGTCGGCAACTCATCGAATCCGCAAAGAACACAGTGGGGCAATTGAAGACGGTTGTCAGTTTATTAGTCACTGATATTGAGAAAAATCATTCTCTGCGTATAACAGGTTTGACTCTAAGTAATTCATATTCATATTTTTGTTTTTTAAGGAGTCACTGTTTATCATATCGATAGTTTTCTGGAAAGATGGATGAAAACAGTGTCTAATTCATCAAGTTCTTAATAAGAGACAGAATATGAGTGACTTTATTGACCCATCTTCATTCTGGAAATGCCAGAAAGATATTTTGAAGAAATTTGAGCCAAGAAAGCGTTTGGATTGTTTTCCTGATCAGTCATTCTTTAAATCTTTTATGAACAAATTTCAAAAGGATTATGAGCTTCATTTTCATCATTCTTCTTTCTTGGCTAGATAACAAGAAATTCAATTATGATAAAAGTTTTTTGACACATGCTGTTCGATGTATACACAACCTATGAAGATATATAGAGAGGTTATTGAGGTTATTATTTCTTCTCAGTATTCGCGGTTTTGTAGTTTCTGATGTTCTTCACTTTCCGTGGTGAGAATTTTATCTGCCCACCCTTTCAATTGACAGGTCCTACCCACTCTATCGACGAGCGATGTTCATTCAACCTCACCCTCTCGTTTTGCGTTTTAGAAAGCAGAATACTACAATGAGTGAGGAGATGAAAAACAATTATTTTCAAGTTTTATTTTAGTCTAATTAAGGATAAAAAACTTCAAGTTGTTTTTCCTGCTATAACTTTCAGTTGTTATTCACCTTTTGGAAATTTGTGAGAATGATTATAAGTGAAATTTGTGATGCTTCTGAATGTTCTTTTGTTTTCTTTGTTTTGTTGCTTATTCTTAATATAATTTTTCTTGTTATAAAGCTTTTAATGAGCTATATTTGGCAATTCATGTCTGTCCATACATATCTGAATTTTTGATGATAACATTTCTTTTAGTATGTCTTTGCCATTGTTATTAATCTTCGCATTCACCTCTGCTAAGTAATTCCTCAACTGCGGGCCATCCCTCACTTATTATATAGTGCAAGAATCCGTCTATTTGCTCACATTAGTGATATAGATGTGCATACAAATACACACCTATCTGCAGTCCATTGGGATCCTTTTTTTGATATTATGTGCAAAAGCCGATCAAGTTATCGTGTTCAACCTCTTCAAAGGGTTTCCTGACATATCCTTTTCGCTTTGTTTTGATCCAAACACTATACTGTATTTATGGAGTCACGCTATAGATAGTTCAAATATTATTTTTTACGTAACCTTACGTCGCGCGCATTAATTTGAAAATCACTTGATCACATGCGCGTGTCATGGACGGTTGTGTTTCTTTTGCTGTTTTCGTTTCCGTTTGTTCTTCTTGCATACTCATTTGTTTCCTTGTTCCTGCTCTAATTTTGAATCATTATTGTTTTTTCTTATTCTGTAACCTGGCCAGATAATTTGTGGACGACAGAATTTGTTCATAGACAAATGGCTATGAATGACAGAAAGAAGTAGTGTCATTGAGCAAAGATGACGAGAAAATGGCTACCAGAAGCTCTTGTTGGTTTTAAAAGTAGTTTTGCTTAATTTGAGCCGAGTGCTTAAGAAAAGCATGTTTACTTCATGTATTTAGTTGTAAAAGTTTTTAATAGCTTTTTCAATGTATTAGTACGATTAATTGAATTAGGTTGTCGTGCGGTCTAATCTTGTTCTCGACATGGATGTGAGAGAAGATGTTTGAACAGGTACTGCTCTCGTTGGCATGTATGTATACATAGCATCTGCTTCAAATATTTGAGTTGAATAGAGAAAACTTCTAATGCCATAGGATGTTACTATGGTGGAAGAGATTTCTATATACTCATCTTGTCTTCATTTTCCTTTCGTTTATTTTCAGTTTTTTTTATCGCAAATTTCATTTTTGGCTTTTCATTTCTGTATGCTTAATAATTCTTTGAATTTAATTTTGCTTTCTCTTTTTATTCCTAATTTTCTTTGGAGTTGAAGAGTATTTTTTTTCGACAATCTTGAACGAATTTCAACAAAGGGATTATAGTGAAGTAAAAGCTAGCTCTTAGCTTCATTTCGCTAGTGCAATCCGGACAATCCTCTGCAATCATATTAGGCTTTTTGTTGGCTCTTAGACTTGAAACGCTGCAAAGGCGTAAAAAGACCTAAAAAGAAAGGATAAGGGAATTGAGATTGAGATTTGTGACGATCTTTATTCTTTTCTACGTGGACCTCATCTTCTCCGAATTTGTCGAGACAATTTGACTCATGCAATTGCTTTTCCACTATTTCGGTTTACTTCAAGCGCTAGTTTTTGAACAATCGAATTATTATACGTTGTAATAGAGCAATATAGAAGTAGTTATTCCTTAACTAAATCTTTGCAATACTTAGCGTTTCGAAGTAGTTAAGCTTTCTTAATTGGACTTCTATGTGGCTTACTGAGAACAATCGTGTGGTTCCGTGTCCATCTTGTATCCACTTGTCATGTGGTGTGATGATGGGCAGTAGCAGATGTGGAACGACAAGAGCAGTAGCAGCAGTCAGCGATACAATCTTGGTACAAATTCGATTTCAGATTGCCCTCTTTCTCGTTTTAGTAAATCAATAAGCATCTTGACTTTCACTATATTCTTGGCTTAGCTTATTCTTGAGAAATTATGTTCTTCACAACTGAGATGATGTCGCTTTTTTCATGTCAACATCTTATTTGTTTTCGTCTCTCTTGATGTTCAAATTTATTAAGTCTTCGAGTTTGCTCCCATTGCTCTATTTCGAATACCGAACATCTCACATATTTTGAGATGCCATTTCTATTTTGGAAATGTGAGAAATAACGTGCTATGTACTAGCATGCGGAGTACAGCGCTTAGCCGTAGATTGCAATCTCACACATTGTCTCTTATGCAGAGGATTCTCCATAAGCGACAACCACAGGTTCACTGTTCCGATTTTTTCGGGTTTAGTTTAAGAAGCTGCTCGTGTTCCTCACTTTTCAAACCATTATCTTCTATTCGCAATCTCCTGCTTCTCACCGTTTTCCGCAACTTCTCATGTTGGAAAAACATTCTTAAGAAAACTTGTTTTCTTTGAATTCTATTGTAACGTGTGCCGTTCATTGAGAAATGCACTAGTTATGATTAATGTCTTCAGTGTGATAGCTGAGACAACTACATGTTTTAATAATAGTGAGAAGTTGGGATAACCATCAAATTAAAGCGACCTCTGAGAACATTGATTGATTGGAAAGCTCTAGAAAGATGAACGAGGATATCTTTTACGATGACGTTTGACAAGTTCAAAAATTAATGTAAAACAGCCTTTCTCACTGATTTTCCAAAATCTAATTAGTTTGTTTTCTCGTTATGAGCTCGCGTAGAATCAGCAAATATTTCGATTTTAATAAATAAGATAATTACTGTTGCATAATAAGCCCAAGCTTGACGACAAACTATGTAATTCTCAACGGACCCATGCATTTGTAAGTAATAGTAGATGGAAATCCTTAGCTAAAGTTCAGTCTCGCAAACGAAGAAATGATTGAACTAAACCCCTGACAGGCAGATTCTTTCTTCTCTTCAGATGAGCATAAGTAGCTCCCATCGTGCTATGCGGATTGACTCCCCTTGGGAGGTTCTGCTATTCCAGCAATCACCCTCCTTTTTGGTTGAAATATTTTCTACTCGCCCTCTTATTTTCTTTACTCTTCATCCTCTTTTATTCTTTCTGTCTCATTTCCCTTCCTCGGCTTGCTCAACACTCTCGTTTCTTACTCATGTCCATATTCTTTTTTCTGTTTGAGTCTCGTTTTTATAGAAATCCAATTACTGCCTCCCAGCTTCTGTTTAATTGTTTGAATGTTGACGTGTCACTTAGAGACATTAGCCTCCACCCGGACAACTTCATCAAATGCCATTGGCCTCAAGAGGTTTAACTGTCTTTTCGCCTTAAGCTCAGCCATTCAACCATTTGCTTTCTCTAAAATTCTCATCTCTGTCTTCTCCGTAAAAGCTTATTTGATGCATTTTATTTCTTCGTGCATATATTATTAATCTTATCATAGTTATGCTACCCTGAAATGTTGATTTATGACGCTCCCATTCACCTTACTACATCGCTTCTTTGACAGATTGTTACATTTGCCATAATCTTTTCTCATATTTTCTTCAGTTGCTCTTAGAAGTGCCAACCATTTACGAGCTTCACATATGCAAAGTTCCGCTTTTTGTAATATATATATAGCCACAAGTGTAATTAGTCTTTTTTTCTGCCCTTCGTTTTACCACATTTTGAGAACAGACCCAGCTGTCCTTTTAAGAAAGTGAAAAACGGCTAGTTAAGATTACTAGTGACTTTTTTCTCAATTGTACTTCTGTCCTTGTCCTATAGTGTGCAGATGGTCTATTCTTAGCCGACACCATTTTGCTTCTCCTTATAATTCCCTGCTTTACGTTTTATATATTTTCTCTACGGGATCTATGTTCTTTGTTCCTTTTTTTCTGTTCTATCTCATTTCGTTCTAATATGAGATAGCCTTTTTCTGGTGATGAAGATGACACGCAAAGATGTCTGCTTGCGGCCTTCTTGTTCATTTCCCATTTTCTTTTCACTGCTACTCAGACTTTAATATTATAAAAATGATTTTTCGACTCGTCTACTCTTCATCCATATTTTTCGCAAGATGTCTAAATTAGTTTTCGTTCCTACTTCTTATTATTATAATGCGAATGTTGATACGCTCTATAATTGTAAGCTCCGTTCCACTCTATTGAAATCGCATATGTTTATGTATCATTTATTCCATATGGTCGGATGTCTCCTTAACGTTATTAAGAAATTGTCTAACACTTCGGCTGCGCGTCTTCATTCAGCTATGTTGGGATTCCCGCCTCTTTATGCAAATGCAAGCCTTTTAGGGTAATCAGTCCAAATGGTAACCCTTCGTCCTTCTGAATGCACACGACTCGTTGTCTAATCGTCACCATCTAACAATAATAATCCTCCGCTGTGTATATCTTCCTTGTAATGTAAGGGGATAATTAGACCGATATGTCTCTGGATATCGACCATGCCTCTTCTTTATTTCTCATCCCGTTCTACAAAAATAGATACGTGCGCCTGGTTCCTCTTTAAACGAGGTGAGACGAACATCCTAAACATTTTATGCCTTCATCCTGACGGTTTATTAGAAACTTCGCCAAAAATCAATTTCCCTGCAAAGCATTAACATATCCACGTAGGCCACGTAAATCTTGCGCAACGTTTATGCTAATGATCATTTTTGAAAAAGACAGAATGATGAATGGTTGTGTTCTAATTTTTTCTCATTAATTTATGTTCAATCGCTACTCACTACTTATTTAATGTCACCTACTTTTTTTGAGTTAAATTTTTTCTATTTAATGGTTAGCACCTGGTGTCTCGTTTCATACTCCTTTACATATTTTATGTATCATTGCCTTGCAATTATTTTTTTAGAATAGCCTTGTAGATATTATCACTTTATGCGTTTTCGATTTCTAAACTTTAAACGACGTGCTTCAAACTAGACTTATCAGTACATTTTCTAGATTTTGTTCTGATTTGATGTGTACATGAATTTCACAAAATCTGAAGTTTTTTTCATCAGCACTAGTTATCTAGTGCGAGGAGCATTCAGCTGACAAGATGTTCTTGTGAACTTTGTCACATTCCGGTATTATGATATTTGGCATACGCATACCTACTAATAGTGTAACACTAAAGAAACACTGCGACAATACTTTCGTGTTCTTTCTTTTCTCTCTTAATTACCCATTCTTTTCCTTTTGTGTCACACCGTTTTGAGAAGACCCGCTGGAGGCGCTCTAAGTTTACATGCGCCGATTACAAAATCGAATCGGTGAAGAATTTTCCTTTTATTCCTTTTTGTATTGTATATTCTCACTTGGCTGGTAAAACTACATCCATAGAATATTTTTGGTTGTATTTCTCATCTTTCACATGAAATTCGTGTTTCTCCTGATTACTCGATGTTATTCTTCGATTCCATACTTGCAATTTGCTATTTTTTTCCACAGATTGTCTTCTTCTACATTGAGTTTCCTAGTCATCTTCTGACCCCTGTTCAATTACTTTGCCTTTTTAGCTCTTTCGGAAAATTGAAATCCTTAATGTTGCTAGCGTTAGAATGTGCTTCGCTCTGTTTCCTCTCTCATCTCTTCATTTCCTCCATCTTCTGCTTAGTTGACATAAGTAGATGAAGATGCGAGCAAAGGGATTGTTTCACTCGCGCCGATGTCTTCTGAGTTCGTCCTCTCTTGTCTTCTCGAGAAGGGCGCGTTGGTGGGCATGTTAATTATCGGCTTGGCCGATGAAGCGTCATCAGGCATTGTGCCCAGCTAACTGCCATCTTTCTATCTTCGGTCTGACTGATGGCCCGAGCTGGGGTGGTTCTTTCCTGTCTCGTAGTCGTTGTGGGACCTCGGCTGCAATAGCATTGACGCAATTGCGGATATCTAGCGAATTAGCATAATGGAGATGCCAAACAATGGAGAGGCTTCGAGTAAAAGCTCTCTTCTTCTTCTGCTCAAGCAGCATCCTCATTATATGACTTTCACATTGTTAACTCTAATCGTCTTATACCGAGTAATTTTCTGATTTCACACCTTATCAAGGTCATTTTCGACTCATTGATACATAAGGGATTAACGACAGTCTTAGTTTTGCATGAGAATGCTATCAATCTCAAAGTTTAAGAAATTAATACGCTAGCTATATGTTTTATTACTCTCTATTGCTTCAAGTGTTTATCTTCATTTATTAGATCATGAATTGAAGTTTATTTATCTCGGTTTGCCATAGGATCTATTTCCCAGGAGGGAAATGTAAGGTGAGAGATATATCTTTGTTTTATGACCTGCTCCAAGCTTCTTGGAATTATGTTAGATATTCTCAATATGTGTAGTATTGGCGCGGCATTCTCAAAGACATCGTGCGCATGTCTGCTCTCTCTGAGAAAACGAAGTATTTCGGTTTTGATTGTCCGTAAATAGTGAAGAGTAATATCTTCTATTGAACAAATCAAGGCGAGTATTAGATTGAAAGTTTTTGAAACTTCTAAAAGGGAGACATATGGACCGATGAACCGACACCGATTTTCTAGACGCACAAAGGCTATCGTTTCTGTCTCCCAAATCTCCATTTTGTTGTTGCTTCTTCAGGCACATGTCATGCACATGTTTGAATTTTGGCAGATGTTCCATTTCAATGAACCAAATTAGTCGTCGGTGTTACATTGCAATTAGAGTCCTTATATGATTAGTTACTTGTTTCTGTTTTATTCCTTTTTTTCCCTCAGCGTTGTTATTTCAGCACTTCCAAGTTTGTTTATTTTCAACTTTTTGTTTTCGCTTTAGTAGACGTCGTGGTTTATTTTATTTCATTTTCTGATATTTTTATTGAAATTCCTTTCACTTTATGATTCACTCCAGCTAGTGAAGTATAATGCTCAGCTTTTGCCTATACATTCGATCAAGTAATTCTTTCGTTCTCGTACTTGCTGAACAATCCGTTATTTGGCTGATAGTTGACACCTTTAATTTCACCAAGCTATACTCTATTCTCTTGTATTTAATGTGTACTAGCGCTACCACATTTCTTGGGAATCTTAGTTTGATGGGAAAGAATGATCGCTTTAACGAGAAGTCTAAGGCTTTTGCAATGCTGACGGTTGCTGGGGCACGATGTATTAGGTTGCAATTCATTTGATATCCACCTCATCTCACATGGAAGCCACTAGCTTTCAAACGCTTACAAAATAAGTTTTTTTCGCTCCAATTGACTTGTGTGATATTATGAATTCTGTCCATTCTCGTAACTGTTCTAATATCCAAATTGAAGAGGTTATTTGCATTTTCCTTTGCTTTTTTCTCTATTTCTCGGCTTTCTGAAATAACATATTTTCTCTCATTCGTTTCATTAGCTCTCGTCGCTCTTGCGCCCATTTCTATTCATTCATTGTCTCACAAATTATCTCTTCATTCTTGATGACTGGCTTCTGCCAACATCTCAATTTCACGCAATATTATTACTCGTACAGTTCAATCTTCTTGGATTTTTTGCCATCGATTTTTGTTCTCTTCTTGCGCATTTTCGCTCCGACGGCATTTATACAATTGTGCATTTTCTCGTGATTCTTTTATTTGCCGCGCTATGTTTTTTGTATGCTATGTAATTGTGATAGCTGGAAAATTTCAGTTCCAACATCTTGTGGGCAAGGTAGCAGGTACAGCAGTAGCTGCTGTAAAAGTTGGCAATGAAGCCAACATTTTTGGATCATCTGGATGGACTCCGCCAGGAGTATAATATTTTACAACAACAACTACAAACGCAGAGGGTTAGTTTTCCACATTAATTATCGTTGGACATATGCTTTTGTGATATCCGAAGGATGGAATATTCATATGTTTGTTCATACTATTAAAACATTAAATCAAGTGAGATCTATTAATGTCTTGGGTTTGTGGTGCATTTCGGTTTAGTTCTGCTACTCGAGAACTCTCAATTAATGTAATCCAATCTTCTCAGCCTTATACTGCCCCGCTTTCGGACATCTTTTTCTGTATGCCTCATTGTCTAGTTTCAGAGTGAAATGGAAAAACTAAATAATGAAAAAGAGCAAATGCAAAGAGCATATATGATGTATTATGAGCTAAACTGTGCTATGTCCATGGAAGTTCAAAAGCATAATGAGTTAAGCAAGCGGTTGCACACTATCTTAAATTCGGTTTGGTTTTTGAAATAGAAAAAAGAAATAAAAAATGTTTTTAAGTTAGTGCCTTATCTCCCTCAAGAACATCAAAATCAGGCTCATCAGGCCATTGAGCGTGCCAAAAATGTTAGTTTTTTAGTTAGAAGCAAACACTTACCTCATATTTTTAGATATCACCAAGTGAAATGAATCAAATTATGTCTCAGCAGATGATGATGCCAGGAATGGGAGGAATACCTGGCATGCCAGGCATTCAACTTCCGCCTGGTATACCATTTCACCCATCGTCCGCCTTGGCTGCCGTAGCGGCTATGACCCGGTCTAATCCTAGCGATATGCAATCCAATAATAGCGATCGTGGGGGAGCGGAAAGCCGACAATCAACGTAAGTTGCTATTATGTCTATAATACCACTACTCTTCATAGGTCTAGGCCGAGAACGGGATCTCCTTCTGGTGACTCTGTAACTGCCTCTAAGAGGCCGAAGCTAGAAGAAGATGTGGATGGTGATGGTGAACTTGAGATTGATGTTCAGAACGATGATGCTATTCACTCTAATGGAACAAGCAGTGCACCGCCCTCTTCTGTTAAGGTTTGACATTTTTCAAAATGTTGTCTTATTTTTTTCAAGAAGGAAAAGGGCAGGGAGTCTAGTAATAGTGTGAACTCGAGTAGGCCTAGCACTCCGGGTCGTAATGGTAGAAATGCTATAGAAAATCTACAGTTGCAGAGCAGTTTATTAGGTAATTAATATTTAATTTTGTTTTACACTCTACTTTTTTTTTTAAGGAGGTCTGAACCCTTCTAACCCTCTTGCTGCCTTTGGAGTAGGTCGTAATGTTCCCATGTTGGATCCTCAGCAGCAGGTGTGTTTGCTCTAGGCTTTACGATTTCTTAACGAGGAAATTTAGATGCGATTGCTCACAATGGGAGCTGTGCTTCCCAATGGAAAACCATCCTACTCTTATAAAATTGCTGAAGGAACCTCTCAGTTAATGCCAACAGTGTTTCCCAGCGATGCTTTTTCGGGGGAAGGCATTCCAAAGAATGTGAACAAAGTTTACAACTTACCTCATGGTGAAGTAGTTTGTGCTGTTGCTATAAGTAGAGACAACAATAGAGTATACACAGGAGGTAAAGGATGTGTCAAGGTTTGTTACTGAGTTATGTATTTGATTTCATGGAACTATTACAGGTGTGGGACATTAGTAAGCGAGGTCCAGATGTATCAAGAACCCCACCAGCTCCTTTGTCTTCCTTAGACTGCTTAAAAGATAACTACATTAGGTCTTGCAAGCTTTTCCCAGACGGATCTTCATTATTAGTTGGTGGAGAAGCTAGTGTTGTTACTATTTGGGATCTTGAGGTATAAACAATCGTAAACCGACATTCATATTTTAAATTTAAGAAAATGACTGTGAAAGCTGAAATGGATAGTGAGTCTCAAGCTTGTTATGCTCTAGCTCTGTCGCCGGATAATAAACTTCTGTTCGCCTGTTGTGCTGATGGAAATATTGTTATTTGGGATATAGAAAATAACATAAAGGTTGCATCTCTCCCTGGACATATTGATGGAGCCTCATGTGTTGACATTTGGCGAGATGGCACGAAGCTATGGACAGGAGGGCTTGATAGTACAGTGAGAACATGGGATCTTCGTGAGCGTAGGGAAGTTCAGGTACTTATTCTGAAAATGTTCGATAGTGGAATTCTTATGATTACAGAAATATGATTTCCCCTCTCAAATATTCTCTTTGGGATGTTGTCCATCAGATGATTGGGTTGCAGTCGGAATGGAATGTAATAACGTAGAGGTTCGTTCGTTATATTGTTCATAAACTTACGAGTTGTGTTTCAGGTTTTGAGTCCAAACAAACCTGAGAAGTATCAACTCCATCAACACGAGTCTTGCGTTCTTTCACTCAAGTTTGCTAATTCGGGTAAATGGTTTGTATCCACAGGAAAGGTAAGAATTTGTATCCTTCAATCCAAATATGTTTTCTGTTTTCCAGGACAATGTCTTACATTCTTGGAGAACACCATTCGGTGCCTGTTTGTTCTCTGCCAAAGAGAGCTCTTCTGTGTTATCATGTGATATCTCTTATGATGATGCCATACTTGTCACTGGATCCGGTGAAAAGAAGGCCACTGTATATGACATAAATTACCAATGAGCTTATAAAAGTGGAGATAAGCTAATTAGTAAACTAGGAGTCAAGTTACTAGTGTTCCACCGGTGTGCAATGCTTTCCACGTGTAAATCCTTCGGCTTTTCATTTAAATCAAAAATTTGCCCAACATCCTGCCAATGTTATTTCTCCAACAGGTACTAATGTAAATATTCTTCATTCCAGTCTTCCAATTTCGAAACTCAACCCTTAGGGTTCACTATCACATGAACTTTTGCTCTCTAAGCTTGTTTCTCCTTCGCTTCTTGTTCATCAACAAAACTGCTTCCTTTTGCCATAATTTTATGGGATATGTTTTGTTTCGTTTTCGTCGAATATAATGAGATTTCCGTGCCAATTTCACCTATATTAAGTGTGCTAAATAAGCTAATAAGTGATACGGTATAGTTATTCTGTTGAATTTCAGTTTTGAAACTTATCTGAACTCAGTAACTAATTTGTTTATTCTTATCCCAGTGCAGTCTCACTTTCATTGTATCTCTTGACCCTATTTAAGTCCTAATCATTTAACTTTGTATACTTTTCGTGAAGCATTACAATTTTTAAGGTTATATATGTTCTCAATTTGAACTCAGTTTGTTTGTTCATGTAAGAATTAGATAATATTCATCTGTGACCTATGCTGTATCTCTTTTGTTTTTTTCATAAATCGTAATTCATGACTATTTTCTATTTTATTTCCAAATGCATATACAAGCGGTTATGTTTCCGAGAAACAACATCAGTTAAAGCCTAGTTCCAGAAGTATAGCCGTCTATTTTCAGAATTAGCGTCGCTGTTACAGTTTGCCGGTTCATTTCCCTCGTGTACTTCCGCAGTTCATGATAGAATTTGTTTTCCAAATCTACATCATGGGAGAACTGCAGTACATCAACCATTCGACTTGTCCTGAGAAGTAAGTCAAGATCAACCTAACACCAATGCTTCATACCTGTCAATCAACGGAGCCTCTTCTATTCTACTACAGCTTCTTTCCTCCATATCTTGTTCATCAGCAAATCGTAGAATTTCCATCGTTTGAGGCATGAAAGCTATTGTGTCTCGTCTTTCAGTCAAAGCATTCATAGCAGTCGCTTCATGCATATACTAAAGCAATAAGATTTATAAAATTCCAATATTGAAGGAAAGACCTGAAGGATGTCCAAAGATGTGATATGTTCCTTATCAGGATATCTTCGTCTAATCTCTTCTATTATTTTCAGTAGTTCTTTAACTTCAACCTAGAGCACAATCCTCATATCATAGATTCAAGGCTATTCAGACCTCCATTTGTTCTTTCTTTTGTTTACGCTTGAAATTAATCTTACGTCCGAAATAGTGAATTTTCAAGAAGATTTCCTTCAATTCAGAAGCAGCCAGTTCAGCGCACATTGATAATACGGCAACCCCTATAAATTTCGTTGCTCTCGTTACATTCGAGTTCATACCGAAGGTCACAAACACGAAAATATAAATTATGGTAAGAACATGATTCAGATCGTTTGGCATTTCGCTCATGGTTAAATTAGCCACGAGGTTGAACGTTACAAAGAACGCCTCGATGAAAGTTGCTTGACCACCTGAATCTTAAGTTAAAACTGGCAATTAGGTTGAACTGTACCAGCAGCAATGTATGTTACACCCCCTAACATACAGAATACCAATAGAATAGATCCTGTTATACTTAAGGGGAGCTTAGTTGTTCGCTCTTTTTCCTTTTCCGCTTGGTTCTCTTCCACAACATCCTCTACTATTTCACTTCGTGAACGTGAACTCTTATGCGATCTTAATATATATAAGCTAAAGAATATTTTATGAAATATTGGAAACCTTATTGAAACTCTGTGCCTCAAACTTGAGGTGGACTTCTTACCACATACATGTTTCATTGGATCTTCTTTCACGCAATATTTTTTCCAAATGATGCTATACTGCAATCGAATATAAGTTTCAAAAAAACTTTCTTTTTGGTAAACAAACTTTTGAATACAAAGTTAGAACTATATGTGAGAGAAATCTGCCAATATCAACGGCTGCTAAAACCATCAGAGGTATTCCGATTAGGCCATAGATTATAGCTGCGCTTTGTCCCATTGGAGTTACAGGCACAGCATTAGAGTACCCTGTGGTTGTCTGAATTGCTCAATTTTTAATTTCATCATATCTTGCTCTCACCAGTATACTCAAGGCATATAGGAACGAGCTACTTTCACTCCATCGTGGTGGTAAAGCATCCACGGAGTTCAAACTGGGGTCCAAATGAAAAGGTCTGTTCTCGTGAATTGATGATAATCTATGAAAAGTTCATTTGATTTTCCTATTATCGCAAACTTGGATAATTGGCGGAAGATATTATCCTCTGAGAGCTTCCACACATTGTTATCACCGGACATATCTCTTATTTCTGATGCAATACTACGATATATCTTAAAATAAACATTTGACTTCGAAAGTTCAATCATCTGAAAACCTCTTTGATTTTGTTTAATTTAGTCGCTTGTATCCTTTTATCAACTTCATATTCGATCCAATAGAAAGCTTTCGCTCCAACCAACAAGTAAATGAAGAGGAACAAATAGAGGCCAACGTGGGGAAGTGCCATTTTGAGGCACTACAACAGAAGATTTGAAGTGATACGAAGATTTGATGAAAAAAAAACATACTTCTTTCCATTTTGAAGTGGGGACTGATGTCTCATCGGCAATGTCGGAAGACATAAAAGTTACATCTGAGGAGTATATTTTCATCCGAATATTGCATATTCTTAATTTAATTGTATTGCAGCCACATGAGGCCCTTTAATAATATTTATGCTCAAGATGAAGAATGTAGTATTAAATTCATGAGAATGCTATGTCTATCTATACATTTTCATTAAATATTACATTAGGCCTCAATTGATTGCAATGGGGTTTAATTCGATTAGTTCATTGTCTCAAATCATTTGAAAATGGACATCTTTTGATATTTTGAATTGTCGACTAATCGATATGCATTGAATAGTTTACAAATCTATTGATTTACTGTATTCTATTTTTGTACGTGAGCAGCTTTCAAACTTGACTCAAGAGATCATTTTGGAGTTGACAAACGAGTGAAGCGGTTGCATTTTTCTTTTCTTCTTTTTATTTTTAATACGAATCGTAGTCTTTTTCTTTTTTTCTCAAAATAGATGGCTAACGCAGTTGGTTCTCCTAGGCCTTAGAGCTGTTTTCATTGCCCAGCTGACTACTGCCTGTTCGATTGGTTGATGCTTACTTTTTTCCATCTCTTCTTCTAACTGAAAATAACATGCCAACATCACATTCCAGCTTTGTGGGAAGATAATTTTGAAAGCTAGTAAATCTTATGTTCACAAAAGACCCTAACCTTGCCCAATTTCGATGTAATTGTCCTCATAAGTTTCATATGACCAAATATGGCGACGTAAACTAGTATCACGCGCCATCCATACTAGAGAATACACCAATTCCTATTTTGGTTCAGTTCTCTTCTTGTTAACATTTGCTTAGTATTCCATCTAAGAACGCCATATGATAATTGATAATACGTATATCATAGAATCGATTAGGTATTATTGTTAATGTATATCTCTGTTCTCGATAAAACTCTTGATTGTGCATGTAATCGTGTTTTTCCAGCATTCTCCAAGCATTTTGAACACAATATTTCACTTTAATTATCATCTGATGTTTTCAGATTGTGATATCGAGGTCAATTCAACTTTGAACTCAAAAATAACGTGAGCTGATTTCTGAGAAGAAATTTGTGAGTTTTTTGTTTTCAACTTAGAAGTTACTTTTACTTGACGTTATTACTTCCATACGTAATACACCAAGCAGAACCCTTCAGTGCATTTTTCAGCTATTTCTTATCTCTTTTATCGAATAAATTGTCTCTGTCTCTCTACATTTTTTGTACTAACTAATTCGTTCTTTATTTCATAGTAATCATTCTCATCTTCAATTTCGTTGAAACGAAGTATTTATAGTTTAGTTGGGTAAACTAACATTAAGCATTGTTAACTCCCCGTAATGTTGCACAATTTTTTCTTTTTTCTCCGCTAGCTCACATTGGCAACAGAAGAGGGTGTGAACTTCATATAACTTTTCCCTATTTCCTCACAATATTTCCTTTTTATTTATTATTTTTTTCTTCAGAATGCGCCACTTGAGCAACTTTTTCGGACAAACTAAGCGTTTCCTTTCCTTATCAAGTGTCGGCATGTCGTCAAACAAGGTTTGATCTATGTTGCTCCTGGAACTCAGTTTGACAATATGATGTTTCAGGTATTGTCCAGCAAAACCATCAACTCTAATGTTGTTACTATGCAATATGCTGTTCGTGGACCTATTGTCATCAGAGCAGTAGAGTTAGAAAAAGAAATCGCAAATGTATTGTTTGTTTTTTTGAAAATTCGATAGTTTTTTTCTTTAAAGGGAGCCAAAAAACCTTTCCCAAATGTTATTAAGGCTAACATTGGCGATGCACATGCTATGGGACAAACTCCTATCACCTTCATCCGTGAGGTATCATCTTTCATATCCAATGCTTTCAGTTTAATCAGAAAATTATAGGTTCTAGCTTGTGTTGCTAATCCATCTCTTCTTGAAAGTGGATTGTATGCTGTTGATGTTATTGAACATGCTAAGGTAATTCTATCAGTATTTCATTCAATATCATTGTTTTTAGACCATCCTATCAGGATGTGGAGGAGGAAGCACTGGTGCTTACAGTCAAAGTACTGGTGTTGATGTTATCCGGAAGCATGTTGCCGAATACATCTCAGTTAGTTTTTTTAAGATAACTTTTTATAATTCTTGGTTATAGAGACGTGATGGTGGAATTCCCTCAGATCCAGAAAATGTTATTCTGTCTGGAGGTGCTTCCGAATCCATTCGTAATGTTCTCAAAATGTTCATCAATCATGACTCCTCTCGCCAAGTTGGAGTTATGATTCCAATTCCACAGTATCCTCTTTACTCTGCCACAATTGCTGAATTCGGATTGGGACAGGTTTGCATCGGTTACTATGTGAACTAATTTGATGACATCCGCTACTCAGGTTGGATACTACTTGGATGAGCAGAAGGGCTGGTCCCTCGATGAGGCTGAACTCGAGCGCTCTTTCACAGAGAGCTTGAAGAAATACGATACTAAAGTCATTGTTATCATTAATCCCGGAAACCCTACAGGACAGGTATTTCAATCTTCCCAGCCTCTCGGATAGTCTCCATTCAGGTGTTGAGCCGTGATAACATTGAAATGATCATTAGATTTGCAAAGAAGCATAATCTCTTTGTTATGGCTGATGAAGTTTACCAAGTTAGTTTACTGCATTTCGCAGATTGCAGAGAAAAATTATATTTCGAGTGGAAGTTTATTCTTCTTGCAGGATAACGTTTATGCCGAAGGCTCCAAGTTCCATTCATTCAAGAAGGTTGTTTGTGAGATGGGCTCACCATACAATCAGTAAAATCAAATTTTGCTTTCATAGGTATTCATTGAATTTCAGAGTTGAATTAGCTTCCTTCCACTCTGTGTCCAAGGGATACATGGGAGAATGTGGTCTTCGTGGTGGATATGTCGAGTTCATGAACCTTGATCCTGAAGTTTATGTTCTTTTCAAAAAAATGATTTCTGCTAAGTTATGTTCCACTGTTCTCGGACAAGTAAGTAACTTCACATTACTTCTTATTGATGGTTTCTGTTTAGGCAGTTATTGATACAGTTGTAAACCCTCCAAAAGAAGGAGATCCATCATACCCTAAATGGCTTCAAGTAAGTGTTACCTTCAACTTTCTATGTAATTTATCTTTGTAGGAGAAGAATGCTGTTCTTGCTTCATTGAAAGAAAGAGCTACACTCGTAGAGAAAGCTTATGGCTCAATCGAAGGCATTAGTTGCAATCCCGTCCAAGGAGCCATGTATGCCTTCCCTAACGTCCATTTGCCACCAAAGGCTGTTGAAGCCGCAAGAGTAATCAGAATAAAAAAACTCAACGACATTTAATCTTTTAAGAGCCTTGGCCAAGAACCAGACTTCTTCTATGCTATGGAGCTTTTGGAGTCTACCGGTATTTGCATTGTTCCAGGAAGCGGTTTCGGACAGAGAGATGGAACATACCATTTCAGGTAAGATATTTACCATTCCCACTATTGAAATTTGCGTTTAGAACCACGATTCTTCCACAACCTGCTCTAATGAAGGATATGTTGGAGCGTTTCTCAGCTTTCCACACCAAATTCATGGAGCAATACAAGTAAATAGTAGTGTTAGAGTGAGGTCTCTCAAATAATAACTTTTACATTGCATTTTCCTTTTCCTATGTTTTCTTAGGCAATACTTGAAAATAAATTTTTAATTTTATTTTCTCTTGAATTTCTTCTCTGTTTTCATCATCTGTATTTAAATATTTATTGGAGTTGATGGTAATCAAACACCTTTCGCTCCGCAAGAAGCTCTGCTTATCTCAACCCGGATATGATATGTATCAGCAGACACATAAACGATACAAGAAAGAAAAAACTATTTATTTTCGATAGTTCACTTCCAGCGTACTTTCTGCTTATACTACAATAGATCATTTTATTCTCTGTTTTATATTAGTTATACGATTTTAATATATAAGTTGAAATCCGGGTTTTAATGATGTATTTTCAGCAATTGGCACAATAGCTTGATGCGGGAGGTGCTTCGGTGTCCAAGCTTAATCCTCGACATTCTTAAAGTAGTTCATAGTGTGTGTGTGAAACCACTAGATCCGAAGTATACCTGATAGTGGGATTGCAGAGGAAGAGTCAACACTCTGTTGTATTCTTTGCATTACGAGATCTAACAAGCAGTCTACAGCCTTCTCTACGTTAGTAGAAGTGCAAGCTGAAGTTTCAAAGTATGGCAAGCTGAAATGAAAAATTGAGCGCATCAGTTGGAGTCATTTTCAGAATTTCGATGCACTCGAGCGGTTGCATTAGTATGGGAGCAAGAGCGCAATTGAATTACAATGAATTGTTGGTTGATCATTTACATACTCACCCTAATTGATCAGCTAATTGTTTAGCCCTTGCTGTACTGACTTGCCGCCGATTTTCTAAATCTGCCTTATTGCCACAAATGATGATATCAGGGGTGTCACAGTATGCATGTAGCTGTAATGAGAATTCGGACTAGAACATAGGATCGGCTTTTTTCTCACCTTAAGCTGTGATAACCAATCACGGATATTAAGGAATGATTGTTCGTTGGTTATATCGAAGATCAAGATGAATCCCATGGCATCACGAAAAAATGCTGTCGTCAAGCTTCGGAATCTGAAATAACATTTCAGATGTTCTTTTTTCATAAAACATTAATCACTGTGTATGTGGGAATATGAACATAATTAGAAGTCACATCTGTCTTTAACGGCTGATGCAATAGTTCAAATGATGGAAATTATGTTATTTGGCCATTTGCAATAACAAGAATAATGTTTGCAAGGAATAACATTTAGTTGATTAGTTGTTGATGGGAAAGAATCTTCAAATTTATTTTCAAATAGATGTCAGCGCCAGATATACTAAGTATGTCAGTATTTATATTTATGTTTTGTACTGGTAATTTTGAAAGAAAAGGCAAAAGGGATTCTCAAAGCCAAAATAAAGAAAGCTTGGGTGATATAGAAGCTAAATGAGCGCAGGGTTTGCAAACATTGGCATTTTTATATCTTTCTGAAGTAAACAATACCTCTCTTGCCCTGCAGTGTCCCATAATTGAAGTAAAACTCGTTGTCCTTTACCTCCGAAGCCTCCACGTGTGCTTTTATACACCTTTAACAATGAATTTGTCATAAGTGACGAAACATGGTGAAAAGTCTTACAACTCGCTTCTCCTTGAAATCAATGCCTACTGTAGAAATGAATTGTCCAGTAAACGTATTGTCCGTATAACGATGCTGCAAAACATGAATTGCACTATAAGCTTTATACAAATCGTTTTAGTTAGACTTTATGATTGCTTTTGATGCTTATTAGAATATCTCACGGTTATTCCCATTGACGCAAGGTGTTCTTTTGTGGGTTTTTTTTCAAATAGAAATTGATATGTCTTTATTCTTTGGACTGTTAGCATGTGCTCAGGAGGATATACAAAGAATATGGCTGGCAAGCCCTCACACCGAAAATCTCATTGATCTTGATTTTCACGTTTTAGTTGGAAAGCCTTCTCGCCAACGAATAAAATGAAATAAGGAAGAACCTATTATGCAATGATTTATTTGCCATGGAAATTGTGACACATGAGAGGCAGATGATACTTCTCTCTCTCTCTCTCTCTCTCTCTCTCTAGCTCTCTCTCTTTCTCGAATCCATTTTTTTTAAAAATATAGAATTAGCTTACAAAGCTCTTTGACTCTTAGCTATATATGTCTATGAATTTCAAATGAACCATATGAAATATGATATTATGAGAGAGCAAAAATGGACTGAAGCGAAAATGCTTCAACACATTGTCTTCTCTCGACCTAATCAGATCGAAGAGAGAAAGAGAGAAGAGCAAGATGAAAGGCTGACTGGATAATAAGATAATTTGAAAGACAAGACTTTGCAAATGAATAAAAGCTTTGCATCTACAAAAGTAATTTGACTGCTAATTGCAATATTAAGAAAGAAACGAACAAGAACCGAAAGAGCTGATGAAGAAATACAAGACGAAGAGCCGAAAAGATGTCTCGATATGTTTTCATACGAACACTCCACTAAATTAAAGTTGAAAAGAAACGGATGAGTAATAAATCCAAGCAAAAGCTTAGTTTCAGTCGTTCAACAAGACATGTCATTTATTTGGCTTCTGGCTCGCTGGGTGGGGGGGAGGATGTAATTTGTTTTGAAATTAGGAATAACTTCAATGCTTGTCATTATATGGATGTGTTCCAATGTCAAAACTACGGGAATGATTGTAGTCATGAAGCGAATTTCATCGGAATTATTATACAAATTGCTTCTTTACTTCGTGAAATGAGAACAAAACATACCAGGAATGAAGTTTTGCCAACGCCCGAATCTCCGAGGGCTAGGAATTTGATCAAATAATCGTATTCACTCATTTTCTGTTGTAGTCCTTCTACTCAGACAGACGGCAGGTCCAAAAGCCCTAAATGGCAAATATTTAGAATGAAAATTCAAGACAATGAGATACGTGAAGACGAATAGGGCTTGAAATGAAAGATGCAAATATTTGGATATATAACTCGATTGAGCTCAAATGAGGCGTTAAGTCTTCAGACTGTTTTTTTCGAAGTTCAAAATGAGTAGGAGGAAGTGAGAAGATGAGATGGAGGAAGCTTCAAATGACGGAAAAGTTAATACATTGGCCAAGATATTAGTGAACAAATGAGAGAAGTATATTTTGGAGGGTGCGAGATGGCTGAACCTAAACGAGAAAGGAAGAAGAACGACGGATAAAATGAAATGAAAGTATTAAACGGAAGAAAAGAAAGATCACTACAAATGAGGAGATTGAATGATGGCTAAGAAGAAAAAGAAGTAGAGTTGTTGCTCCTCGACCAGCTTGTGTATGAATGTCTATGTATGTGGCTGTGCTGCTGCAAAAGCGAAAAAGATCGATAACGGAGGCCGGGGCCCCTTCTGAGCATGTAGCACACACCATTGGCTGGCTGAAGAGTGTGGGGACTGCCTGCGGCAAAGATAAAGCTTCTGTGTCCTAAGGCTAAATGCATAAACTAGAATAGAGATGATGAAGAAAGGAGATGACACTGGAATTAGATGATATGGAGGTGCTCATGGATGAAAACATCCAAAATGGATGGACTCGCTCCGATAATACGAGGCAGGGAGGATGAGGCAGCTTAACGCCAGCTGATTTCGTCTCAAAACTACAAAGGAATCATTCAAGTCATAAAAGTGATGTTATTGAGATAATACAAAAACTCTGAAAATCTAAGACTTGTGATATTTATGAACGACTCTCCCACCAGTGTCGTTTTTTTCTCATCACAAAAAAATGCCAATCACATAGCTATGTGATGACAGAATAAGGTGCAGGAAGGAAGAAGCTTTGATGTAAATATCGCCTATGTGAGAGAGTCATGAAAAGACAATGAGCGCAGATTGATTGGCCAAAGAAATGAAAAGAACAAAGTTGACATGAAAACTACTTTTTAACTTAATTATGTTGGCCAACCGAAGTTGAAATGAAAGTGGTGGAGAGGAGAGGGGTAGTGGGGGGGGGGAGAAGAAGAAAAAAAGCGTAAGTGAGAGAGGGAGAGAGCAGTTAAAAGTAAAATTCACTGTTGTAAGCTAATTAGATTAGATTGAAATAATGTGAGAAAGATATTCTGGACATGTGATGTGAATTGGTTAAAGGCAAATCTCAATTTTCATATGGCTCAACCATCATTTATGGGCACAACAATATGAATGTTGAGGTATAATTTATGAGAAAAATCGCTGAATGAATAATTAAAAGAAATATTTGAAAAGGCAAAAACGTAAAAGTCAGTTGAATGTGCAACTTGAGGTTATTGATGGTAAAGACAAGAGAGACTTGGAAGTAGACATAAAGTAAAGGCTGATAACAGATCTTTCAATAATAAGAAATGATAATATGTGATAAAGTTTCATTTACCCTGAGTAATTTTAAACTTTTTTACTCTCTCTCTGTCTGTCTGTCTCTCTCTCTCTCTCTCTCTTTGATCATAAAAATGGAAGGAAAACGATGTTGGATTAGACTTCCTTTCCTGCTTCAAACAGTTGAAGTTGGCGAAAAGAGCGTGTGATAGTACATTGAGCGCAATCTGAATGCATAACAAGCATATCAAGCTAGAGTTACAGAAAATAAAAATATTATTTTTTATTCTAAAATCCTGTGGTGACTTTGAGATAATCTTTCTTGAATTGTTCCAAACGACTGAGTATGGCAGGGTCAAGATATCCTTTCTGCTTAAAATAGAATAAAAGCACTTGATGAACATAAAGATATTGATGTTCTGTCTGAAATATTATAATTATATTAGTACTATTATTATATATAATTCAATATCTCACTTGTACACTGTTATTACGTTGTTGACGAATGATGGTCATGTAATGATCCAAAGGATTTAAACGTTGACCAATACGTATTATCTCTAATGCTACTTGAAGTAAGATGATTGTTCCTGATCGACCAATTCCTGCTGAACAATGAACGACAATCGGTGTTCCATTAGCTCTGAAAAAAATATATTTTTTTAAAATAATTATATCATATACATTTCAATAAATATTATTATAAATATAATTACTCATTCTCCAATTGCTTAAGTAAGTGGATAGGAACCATATCGGCTTCTGGCACACCTCTGTCCGGCCAATTTAACCAATGATATTGAGCACATGTATGAGTACGACTGCCTAACTGTATTTCACAAACAGTTATTTGAATTCTGACATTCGTCTTGAATGGGAATTTGTACTAAAACAATATTATTTGGATTACGGTAAACAGCATTTGTCAAATCTCATACTGTTTCAATTAATTTTGCGGTGACGGTTATTTCTTGGTCATTACCAAACTTTAATGATTGTCCAACCTCAATGGGAATATATTGAGCACACTTTGTTGCTCCCTGTAGTATGGAGTTTGATGTTATAGGATGTAGTAGGATATAATGGAACTAACCGTCTCTATATAGTTACATAGCATGAGTATAGCATTAACATTCTCTTGAAGTATCATGTACCAAAAGTCTGCACATGTAGAATCCATGGGACCCTTAGTTTGTGTGGTTGTTGGGTATAAGAAGAAGCAGTAAATCAAAGTTAAACGTACTTGTGTGCAAATGAATTTCTTAGAGTTATTCGGTGTTGATACGTAGTTTGCATGAATATATGCAACAGGGCCCATTTGAAGAATAACACGGTTATTATCCAAACATCCAACATCCTTCAGATAGAATATGATTATTATAATCATTCTCATTTCTTTTTTTGAACAATGTGAAATACCTTATAACGATTACGTCCTAAACTGTTTTGAGCAACAAATTCTGTCATCTTTGAATAATCATTTCCTCGTTTGTGACTTCGGAAGTCAGTTATTATGCCGGATACACGTTTCTGCAAGATTAGTTCAACGAAAGGGCGAACCTTAACTATATCATATAGTATATTAAATAAGCATAATAACTACCAATGAAGCTTTTTCTTTACTGAAACATGGCGATACAGCAAATGTATTGATATTTGATTGTGTTATAGTTGATTTCAACATTCGTTCACGTTTCTCATCCATCCTGCCAATGATAGAAAATACAATTAGAATTGAATAAGAAAAGTTTTTCAAAATGATATTTACGTTTTCATCATATCATCTTTGTTGAGATTGGTTAGTCTAGGTGGTTGTATAATACTTTTTGTATTTATAAAATAATTAAATGGTTTATTATATAAAAATATATGAAGTAGCAATACCTTCGAGCACTTTTTGAATGACTGCGTGATCGACGACGACTAGCTTTCTTCTCTTTCTGACTTTCATCATTTTCATCTTCTGAATTTTTTTTTTTCATTTTTTTTGTTTATTCATTGAATTCGTTGAATTATCTTCATTTCTCCTCACCCGCAGTAACCAAAGTATCTTTTGACTTCTTCTTGAACAATCCAAACATTGCCGGACGACCGTTGGCACAAAAAAACAAATTTCAAAATGAAATTCGCAAGTAAGCGACCGACCGTGTCACGCCACGTACGTCGAATATATTCAAAAACAAAAATGCTTTTTCCATTCTTTTTTTGTTTCACTTTTTCATTCTTCTTCTTCTTTAATTTTCAAAACTGACACATGCGCATAATGGAAAATCCCGCACCTTCTATTTGTATGTTCGAATGAGAGTAAGCAAGGGAGAGAGAGAGAGGTAAAGCCGTTTAAGGCTATTCATTGTATACATGTGTATGTGTGTGTGGGTGCATTTAAATCCGAAATTGTCTTGAAATTACTTGTTTAGATGTTGTAAAACAAGCAAAGATTAAGTTTGTAATGATAGAATGATCATGTTTTACAATGTAAGAAACGGATTAAATATCGTTTAAACGTCATTCAAATTGACTCAAATGACCTTTTCAACCTGTTTGATAGTTAAGTTCCTTTAAAGGTAATTATGCGAATACGTTTGGTCCCTTTGGTTTGAACAAAAGATGATTAAGAGAGTGAGTGAAATGTCTTTTGACCCTAAGGCTATGAATGGAACACAAAAAATTTGAATCAAATGAAGAGACTAAGAGATTGAAACAGTATAAGAGTCTATGCTACTATGAGAGAGAATGAGAGAAATAGAGAGAGAAAGAGGAAGTTTTACTGTCTTATCGATATAATCCACGTGTCATGTCAGATTGAATGTTTTTTTTTCTTGTCAAATAATTATTAATCCTCTTATAAAATTATCAAATAAATGTTCGAAATGATCTGTCCGGGAGCAGAATATGGTTATTCTCTCTCTCTCTCTATCTCTCTCTTACTCTCTCTCTCTCTCTCTTGTTCTTTTCTCTCTTTATACATATGTTATAACCTCTTTCTCTCTCTCTAACTCTCTATAAAGATATATCTTCATATTAATTACTTACGAATATCCTTGTCTTGTCTTATCAATGAGTACAATCTGTTCAATCAAACACACAACACTTCATGGTCAATCTTCTCTTGACAATTGATGTTTTCATTATCAAAACATTCCATTTACAAGTAATAAATTATATAATAAAAAAAAGAATATTGCAAGTCAATGAAATCCACTTCGTAGGCCGTTCGTCCATTCAGATGTCAACTTCTCCTATAACATAGACATACACATAGAGTTAATTATACAAATTATATGGCATTGCATTTACCTGATCAATTTTGGATTTTAACGGTGCCGAAGATGATGCTGCATCCCAACGTTTACGAATTCGTCCATTCTCATCTATATCATCATATCCTTCTATTTTAGTATCTAAAATACATTCTATATCTATATCATATAGCATATACACTATCAATGACCAAGATTGAATGGTGGACGGTTATCCAATGTTGAAATGACGGCTGTCTTTCCTTTCTTCTTCATCTTATTCAAACGTTTTTCCATTTTTTCATCGTTTATCACTTGGATTTCAGCTTTCCTCTACAATACACAAATACGCATTGAAGAGATTGAGATACTACTATAGAGGGAAGATTAGCTATCTAACAGAGAGTTATAGAGAGCTATAGAGAGACTAAGAGAGATGCAATCTGATCAATCAGATTGTCAGTTTCATCGTCTAACTTTCACCAATAAATTAAGTTTATTTGACATTATAGTTGTTGTTGTTGTTAATTCATAACAATCATGTTCAATCTTCTCATCCATCATGCGATAAGTTGAGATAGGTTGCTTGAAGCAAAAATCTGTCGGCTAATGTTGTGACATACAATTCGTCACCTTTATGTCATCAGTATCGTCAATTAGGTCATCAGTTCTAATTTATTTTTTTCTTGATCTCTCTATTACATTTGAAACATGAAGCAAGCAAGATGGGATAAGAAGATTAGATGATCATCAAGTTGAATTGAGACATGTCTTACCTCAAAGCGAGCCGGCTGACTTTTAGAGCGTTTCATGTTGAACTGAGCTTTAAAATTTGAATTGAAAGAAAACGTTGCTAAGCTGAGCTTCATGTTTAAGCATTTCATTCTTATGTTGCTAAGCTTTCACGTGTGTGTTGTTCATCTTTGATTCTCTCTATCTTCTACTCTCGCTCACCCTCTCTCTCTATACAATCCCATACATGAAGTTGAAAAGAAAAAACAGAATATATGTATCCCAAAATAATATTTTATTAACAATCATCAATGATGAAGACGTTTATTTAATGACGATGGGAGTAACAACATAAAAATAAATTTCTTTTTGTTGTATGACGGTAAGATGATATTAGAGAATGAGATATGTTAGATAATCTTCTTCTGTCATCGTCATCACTGTCGTCGTCGTCTTCTACATGATCATGATCCTCTTCGAAACTTATCTATATGTACATGGGAAATATCTCATTTTTTGATTGACCACCATTTTATATTTTATAAAAGGCTTGTAAATCATATTCTCGTAGTTGATAACGATCGTCAGTCATCTGAATTATTTCCGAATATCACCAGTCTTACTTGTTTCTTTTTTTTTCCGGTATAGAATTTAACAAGTGATAGAGAGAGATAGAGAGAGAGAGAAAGAGGATGATAGGTTAGAGAAAGAAAAACAACCGTTCTAACCAATTGTAAATTGCCAAATGAATTCATTCAACGTGGAAGTTCACGTGAACGTGTGATTTATACATGACTGCAACAAGATGATCGTATCGAAAAGACAGTTTGTGTAGATCAGTGTGGGTGTGTATGGGTTGAGAGATGAAATCGAAAAAAAAAAGAGAAAATAACACAAATTTGGAGATGATTGTCTTTTAATTTGGAAACATAAAAGATGAAAATAAAACGTGTCAGATACTTGAAATATTTTCCTGAAAAGGTTACAAAGAGAGAAAACTGACAGATTGCTGATGCTTGGTGGAGGAAGACGAGGTGCTGCGAAACAACAGAGAAGTTTTCAATTCAAAAAAAAAGAAGAAGAAGAAGATGATGATGATGATGATGAAGAAGTGATGAAGGTGTTGAATACGAAACAAACGAAACAGTTCTTTGACATACACACACACACATATACACCCAAAGACACCCAAACACACAACATAGATACACCCTATGTGTCCCTAGATGGATGAACAAAGAGAGTATAAAGCATCAAATGTTTAAATATTTCCTTTTTCCTTCTTTTTTTTTCTTGTTCACCCCCTGTGTGTACCTTTTGTAATTCATTTAATCCCCCAGCTACTACTCAACACACACCACCCCCCCCTCCCCTCCCCCCCTCATGTTCATTTCATTTGCTATCGTTTTGGAGATTTTGATGGATGTAATTGATCGTAATTTCGTTATCAAATTGATGACCTAATAAGGAATGCTCGAACACATGTAATGATATCTTCTTATATCATCTTTCCTGTATATTTCAACTCATTTCTTGTATTTACAAGCTCATTTGCATATTCAAATGATAATTATGTGATTGAGAGATGATAATGATTATGATGAAGAGAAGAGTAGATGTCATTCTCTCTCTCTCTCTTTCTCTCTATGATGATGTCATCTGTATAGAAACATGAAACGAGGTAAAACAAAACAAATTTATTGTTTATAAAGGAGTATTTCATATAATACACGAATTGTAAATGTGGAATACGAACGATAAATGGAAAGAAAAATATAAAAAAAAGGAGAAAAATCTATGAAAATACTGTACTTCTCACCTAAGTAAACGGGCTGAATAATGGAGGGGTTGTGGGGATGGAGGAAGGGGATGGTTTGGGTGGTTCTGTCATGCTGTTCAAATATGGCTATTAACTATATTAATTTTATATTATTTTATATATATATATATATATAACATTTCACATGAAAAAATATATAGAGAGAGAGGAGTAGAAGAGAGAGAAACATATAGCACACATCCTATTGAGAGAGAGAGAGAGACAGAGAGGATAGAGAGAGAGATTGTGTGCGAAGGAAGGGAAGCTGAGTGAAAGCGAAATCATTAAAGAAGAAGTAGATGATCCGAAATCAAAAAAATTTTTTTTTTGAAAAAAAAAAACAAAAAAAAAGATAAAAAAATAAAATTTATTTTGGTTACGAAGGAATGATTTTCCTCCACATTAACTAGAGCTCTATAAATGGATGTAATGAATAAGTTCGTCTTGAGACCCTTAAATTGTGCCAAAGAAACGGTTTTGTTGATGCAATGATTGGTATACGAAAGAGAAATAGAAGAAGATATATAAAATGAAACAAAAAAATATATTATATATATAGTATATAGTATATATAACAGAGAGAGAGAGAGAGAGAGAGAGCAATAGAGAGAGAATGAAACAAAAAAATTAAATGAAAAATGCATTTTCTTTAGCAAATACAAATAGATCTGAGGTGTGTGTGTGTAGGTTGGGTAGGTCCTTCTATCCACCTTTCTCTCTCTGTATATGAGATAGAGGGAGAGAGAGAGAGAGGGTGTAAGAGAGGGAATATATGGGATTAAACTAGACATAAGGGGCGATAGTTGTTAAAGAATTTCAATGAACTAGATGATTTGAGACTGTTAGAAGCTTTTACTTTAAGTATAGATATCCATTTCCATATCCTTTCATGTCATGCTCATATATGTGACGGCTTATATATATAGTATGATGTACATGTGCATGGATATGATAATGAGAATGGAGAGAGAGAGAAAGAGGAAAATATACTGTCAAAGCATATCAGCTTTAATTAGTTGATGAGGGTGTAGGTGAACGTGATGGAGATTTTTGTGGAGTTGAAAGAGGTGTTGTTGTGCCAACGGCAGATGTCGGCGTGGCTGAGGATTTCTCATCTTCGGACGATGGATTTGTTAGCTTTGTTGGATCTTGTGAAGCTGTTGATGATGTTGGGCTAACAGATGATAATCCTGAAATGAAGATAACGTTTAACATATTATCTTATCAGCTTAAGCAATTACAAAACACATTTTTTGACAGAAGATTAAGATAACATCATGTAATTGATTATAATTCCATTTGTAAATATTCGAAAAAGGTAATTTCAAAAGAGCTTAGAGAGAGTAAGAGAGAGAGAGAGAGAGAGAGCTAGTAAGACTAAGAGAGAAAGCTGTCAATGGTGTGTATGTTATGCAATTGTATAAGATTATTACAGTATATTATAATATAGTTAACGAACCATTTTGTTTGGATGAAGCTGTTGAAGATGCTGTATCAGCTGATAAAGCCATAGCTGAACCGGGTTGATTGAATGCTGCTAAGAGCATTGGATTAAATCCACAAATATTTTGTGGAAATGAAGCAGGAGCTTGAGGTGTCATCATTCGTTGATAAACTGCTAATAATTGTTGAGATGATAGACCGGAAGGATAAAATTGTAACATATTCTGTGCCAAGTTGAAAGCTGTACTGCTTGCATCTGCAGATGCTTCTTCCTATAACAGATGAGAATGAAATATTTGTTTGTTGGATGATAGTAGCTTACCTTTAGCTTAGCTTCACTTTCACTATTCAATGGCTTATGTGATTCGGATTTATCAATATTCGGTGGCGTATGAATTGTCTCGGCAATGCTCCAGATGGGTCGTTTGATGGGTGTCGCGCTATCATCACCTCCTCCATGACTTCGATTTAATTGTTTTAATCGATTATCATTTGTATCCATTCCTTCATCCAATTCATCTTTAACATCATCTGATTCATTTGAATTGGAGCTTGATGGACGATCCAAGTTATCAGCCAAATCATCATCATCTCCATCATCAGCTCGTCGATTGGGTGGACTCCATTTCTTTTCCTTCTTCAGTCTTCTACGAGCATTAGCAAACCATGTTGATACCTATAATAGTATATATATAAATTATATGTTTATAATTATGTTTTTGGCGCCCATAATGACTTTTTCCTTTTTTCATTCATTCTGATTCATTTTTACATATAAAGATGTGTCAAATGATAATTATCTCTCGATGGACTACACAAGGACAAACAAGAAAAGTTGTCGTAAGAAAATCAGATGAACTGACAGCTGAACGACAATGACGACGACATTGTCCAACTGTAATTCTCCTATCAGACACATTGCTGTGTGTACAAGCAAAAAAAATATTTTTTTTGTCTCTACTTCCACATACACTCACATACACACACACACATATACAATATGATGATGATGATGATGATTGAATGTACAACAACCTGGAGGGCATATCTTGTACCTCTGACATGCTCCTCTAATCATCATCATGTATACCTTCTGTCTCTCTCACTCTCTCTCTCTCTGAACAGATCACTATTGAAATATAGATAAAACTTAATGAATTTAGTTGAAAATACTGCCAGCTGGCTGACTGACTGTACATCTTTCTTTTTTTTTTTTTTATTCGCCAACAGATTCAGCCTTGAATTGTCGTCAAAGACAAAACTGTCCCACTGTTTTCTCCTCTATTAGAGTTTTTGATTTGAGAAAACAAAAGGTTTAACCCCAAAATATATAAGCAGAATGAGAGAGAATGTATTTAAAAAACTGTTTTAAGCTTTTGCTATGCTTACCTGTGTCAAAGACATTTTTGTTAAGACGGCCAACATGAGCTTCTCTCCTTTGGATGGATAAGGATTCTTCCAATGCTTATTAAGCCAATTCTTTAATGGCAATGTGGTCTCGCGAGTTGCATTCTTTCTTCTGGTTGTATCCATGCCATAAGGATGGAATCCCATTGTACCATCGAATATGATGTTTGGGAATGGTCCGCCTGCTGCAGCAGCAGCAGCAGCCTGATTATTACCGGCGGAAGCAGATTGAAGAGAATTATGATATTCTTGAATCTGTAAAACAGTATAATTAGCTCTCGATCAAGTTGCAATGAGTCTATTAGATGGGAAATGGCAATAAGGGAGTGTTAGCTGAGCTTTTTTTTTTGGAATTGAGCCAAGTGTCTGGCATACGGTACATTTAAAATAAGCAAAAACATGAGCAGAATGTTTTTGCAGCAGCTAATAGCTTTAGTTCACAAGCATTTCAAATGAGAGTAAATGAAGAAAAGAATAGGAAAGAAAGCGTTTGACAAACATGAGCTTGCTTAAATTGAAAATTACTTTGTTCGTTGTTATTTCATCGTCATTAGAAGAAAAAAAAAGAGAAGCTGACAGATAAATTTTAGCCTGAGGGCATCATCACAAGTAGAAATCTGCTTGTTGACGCTTTTGGATACGGTAAAAGACATGCAGCAAATGATAACGAGAGTATGGCTTTCAATTGTTTTTTCCACTTCATTCATCCATCTCTTTCTCTCTCTCTCTCTTTGAATACCCTCTATATAGAGTCTCTCTCTCTCTCTCTCTTGCGGTGTTTTAGGAATTTGTTTCATTTTTTTATTTTAATATAATAGATTCTTGGAGCATAATTAGATGGATGTGTCAAAATAAACTTTCGCAACATTGCGTATCGTAAATAAAGGAATTATTTAAGAAACGACTAGAAGATTGAAGGAAAAAGTTTGAAAGCTAAAGAGATAGAGAGAGAGAGAGTAAGAGAGATAGAGAGAGTTATTAACCACAAAACGATTATATCTATCAGATTATTTTGTAAGTTTTTTGTATTTTTTGATACAACAAAAGGTTGTTTCGTTATCGCAAATTAGGCTTTGGATTAGGTAAGAGATGGCATGTTTCACCCAAAGATAACCTCTCTGTCCATCTCATTCTCTCTTAATCATCTATCTTATTTTCTCTCTCTCTCTCTATCTATCTCTTACTCTCTCTAACACTCTCGGCATTTATTAGTAAAAGAGACCAAGGACAGGTCCAGGTTGACGTGATAATCGGTTCCGGTGTGGCCGGAATATAAGGGAAAAAGAGAAAAAACGTGTCAACCGGAATGTCATAGACGTCAGGGTCAGTAAGTAAAGAGTCGGCATTATCAAAACAAGATTAACTAATTAGTTATAAGATATTTAGTTACAAATAAAATAAACTCATACTCGTTGAATTGCAATTGGCGGATATGACATGACTGGAAGAGCAGCAGCTCCCATTCCAGCAGACATTAATGAATTCATTGTTTCCATACTGTTTTGAACGGCATTAAAAGGAAATTGACCATTGGCTGAGAATAATCCTCTGGCATTAGCCAAGTAATGACTGTAAATATAAAAAATGAATAATTGTATTGAATGCACTTTTGAAGAAAGATTGGTATATTTGATCTCAATTATGATCTCAATCATCATGCATGATCATGTCGATGTCGATGATGATGATGATGTACATGTGATAGTAAAGCTTCTCAAAACTACAACAGAATTTATGTGTATATTAGATGGACATTATTAGAACTTCAGACGCGGGAACCTGTACTTTTTTTGGCCCCATATAGAGTCATCAATCATGAGAAGACGTCGCGGTCGACGTCCGGCCTCGGGGGTGTTGCAAACAAGACGAGAATATAAAATCTATTCGTTTGTATTTTACCATTTAACCACATCATCATCACATCATCAACAGATTCGTCTGTCTGTCTGTCTGTTTTTTTAATTTGGGAGAAAGGGGGGGGGGACAGTTGGGTAAAGGCGAGAGGAGAGCTGTATGGCTGTGTAGTAGTAGTAGTAGTGGTGGGGGTTGATGGTATGTGTGTGCGTTTGTGTGTGTGCATGTGTGTGTGTGTATTTTTAAATACATTCAAAAATAATAAAGAATTACATGTCTTTAATGAAAATACACTTGAGCGCGACAGCAGACTGTTCTTGCTAGTCCGTCGTTGTCATCGCCACACCTTTAGACCGGAATTTCGTTCCGTATGTGCCAAACCTACATTCACATGAGCTTTCATATAGACACAGAATCGCAAGTAAGATGTGAAGAAAATAAAGAGAGCGAAAGAAATAAATGCGAAGAAAGACAAGCTTTTGATTGCAAGCGAGACACACGTACACACAACCACACACACTATATTCCTACAGGTCCATCATATCAACTTTTCCGCCTGTTTTTTCCGTTTCTTCTTTTAATAACGGAAACGGTATGGAAAAATGACAATAATTATTAAATTTGTTTAAGCTTTGCATATATCTCGATTAATAAAGGGGAGGAAAGGGGCTTGATGGCGGGTGGAGAGCGAAAGATAGCACTGAAGAGGAAGCAGCTTCGGAAAAAAGCAACACATACGCAAAAAATGGATATATAGAATAAGATGAAGATATGAAACAAAAAGAAAAAGATTATTCAAATAGTTAAAACATACTTTAAAGCATCAGCAGAAGCAGATGCATCGGCGTCTGGACGATGTTGTTGAGTTGCCGCCAGAAGCTTTAATATAATAGAATGATTTGGAAGAAAAGTTTAAAATATCAAACCTGAGCCTGAGAAAAGGCTGCAGCTGCAGCTGGGTTAAACGTCATCATTGAGGATATAGAAGAATTACAAAAAGGCAACAAAAATATAAAAGAGGAGTTGAAGAAATCTGTAAATAAACGAGATGATTAGATGAAGGTACATTGAAAGCTATACGAGTATATCATACGAGAGTGCGATAGTAAGTTGATCATACTACATATACATATACATATAGAGGGAAATATATAGAAACAAAGTGAGATAGAGAGAGTATATGAGTATATGAGAGCAAAGAAAATGATACAAGGTATGAAGATGTGAATGAATACAAAAAAGGTAATTATGATGTTAAACATGATGTTTTAAGAAAAAATCTTGTACGAGATGTTGTCTCTCATCAACCATCCAAAGAAGCGAACCTCTCGTTCAGTATCTCCTCCTCTTCTTTCCTCTTACTCCCCCCTCCCCCTTCCATCAGCTCGGACCCAGCCCCCTTGCGCCGGTTGCAATTAGGCCACGCCTACCGGTTGATCGTCTATTGGCTGACGAGTGGGCGGTACATGTAATGTCTAATTCTCCGCAAACAACATGTACTCTAACATTTCTACATGAAGCATTGAAATACGGTAGTTGAACATAAAGAGAGAAAGATAATATTGATGTACAAAAAAGAAGAGGAAGTGAAAGAAAAATGAAAAGAGAAAGACTAATTGAGAGAGAGAGCATATGTACGAAGGTTGGAACACATGTTGGCGAACATGGCAAAAATGGTCCTTTATGGAAATTGATAAGAAGCAAAAAGGTAACTGGTGTGAAGAGAGAATTGAAAAAAAAAACACAGACATACACACACATAAACGATCGAAAAGATAAGGACGAAGACTATGAGAAATGAATGAAGGAAAAGGGTGGACAGGTGTTAATAGGAAGCCTCAAGGGGTCGTCCAATACGAGAATTGGGTGTGTGTAAATTAAGAGAATCATAACTGATAAACGACATATGCAGAAGATGATGATCATGACGACGTCTACGACGACGACGACGACGAAGAATAAATTTATGGGAAAAAAATTTTTTTTTTTCTAAAAAATGTTGAAAGAAAGGAATGAATGAAGAATCAAATGAAGACGAGACGAATTGTGTTGAAGATGACGAAAAGAACACAAAATGATGATCGTGTCACAAGAAGTTTGACATGATCTCCTATGAGCCAGGGGTAATGTAAGAAAGCGATTGACAGAGAAAAAAAATTTTTTTTTAGTTCCTCACGTTCAAATCTCTCTTTAGACTCTATACAAAGTATAAAGAGAGAGAGAGTAAGAGAGTGGATTTTTATAAAAAGAATTAGCAAATTGGAAGATATTGAGACGAGGATGGGAATATGCGAATAATGACAATGACTAAGAAGTAGAAAATGGATTTAAGATTTGTCTTTCATCTGTCATACTGTAGCTTTGTGTAGGTAAAGCTCAAATATTGATTAATATATATTAATGTTTTTATAATCATTAGAACATGGAAAATAAAGTTATTCATTCTGTTTCTTACTTGTTTAATGAAGACGAGACAACCATCATGACAACGATGATGTAAAGAGAGAGACAGATAGAGAGAGAGAGAAGGAGATGAAAACGACGAAAAAAAAAGATTTATTTTTGGAAAAATAAAAGTGAAGGTATGAGGATGAAGAGTTGGAAGAGTAGCCAATGGGCAGATACAAGAGTTTCTTCATTTCGACTGGTTGAGATTCTCTTTGCTTGTCAAGGTGTGATGATGATGATGATGATGATGATGATGATGGGGTGTAGTAGAGTTGGATCAAAGAGAGAAAAACTTTTAAGAGAGAGAGAGGAAGAGAGAGAGAGAGAGAGATAAGAAGAATTCAACTGAAGGTGGGGTTGGGGGGGATAGTTGTAATAACAAACGAAATAGGCAATAAGATGTGATGAAAAGACAATGAAAACGATGATAGAATGTGTAATGGAATGGCCGTCCGAAAGTGTCAAACAAGGCAAACAGAAAGAAAAGCGAGAATTGACTTTTCATAACATTGAAATTTAAGAGAGAGAAATAGATAGATAGTGATAGTAAGAGAGAGTTTTTTAAAAAGATAGAGAGAGAGAAACATATATATATAGAGAGAGAGGAAGACATAGAGAGAGAGAGAGAATGAAATACCTGGACAGTATCATTATGATAACATTTTTATCATTAAATGATCACATAGTCCAATATAGACGATGTTTTAAATACTTTTAAGACAATACATCGTGTATGTTAATTCCGTTACTACAACTCTCTCTCTCTCTATGACTCTCTCTCTCTTATAATGGTTTAACACCTCTCTATCTTCAGTTAGCAACTTTTTGCTTATTTCAAAGAGAAAAATATATTTCTTTGATAAAAAAAACACACACAGGAAGAGAGGAATGCTAACATTCACACATACACACACCATGTGTTGCGAATATAGAGAGTGTGAGAGAGAGATGTGGAGATATAGAGAGAGAGAGAGAGGAAGAAGGAGGTGAGTAAGAGAAGCTTTTTCATTTCATCATAAATTATATGAAATAATACAACATTTCACAAAAGATTAATTAAGATGTGAAAGAGTTGTTTAATAGAAGAAGGCGAAAGTAAGCCGAACGGAGATGAGTTAATGTAAGAATGCAATGACAGACTTCTCAACAAAAAAAAGGCGAAGAAATAAGAAAGAAGTTACATTTCGTCTTTGAGCTTGCCTCCCTCCCTCTCTCTCTCTCTCCTTCTCTCTCTCTCTCTCTTTAAGTCTCTGAAAATGAAACTGAGGCTCCGACAAAGGAGACAGCGAGGAGCCTGCCCGATAATTAGAATGTCCAAAGTAAAGTTTTAAATGATTAAATTGAAAAAATGTAAAGATTGCATTGAATTGTGAAGGAGTTACAGATAAGAATGAAAATAATCGAAAAAGTAACGAAATAATTGAATGTATACGTAGTTTTTTAAATAGATTATATACATATAACTAACTAACTATATCATATAATAAGAATGTTGTAGGACTGTTGTAACAACGATGAGAATAACATGAGTTATACGGTTGTTTGACTGATGTTTAACTCTAAGTAACACAGAACTTTCAAAAATATATATTTAAAGAAAGAAAGATAGAATAGAGAGAGAGAGAGTGTGTATGAGAGTATGATAGAGAGAAACAGATAGGTAACGAGGAATGATGAAGCTCGAGCACAAATGGGCGGAGTCTTAGATTTGGCGGTTGATGAGCTGGTGATGATGAAGAAAGACAATGTTGATGAAGACGATTAAAAGAAGGCGTGGCTTTAAAAGGAGGAAAGGAGCTGCCGGGGGAAAGAAGAGAAGAGGTTGATGAAATATAAAGAGTCTTGTGAGAAAAAAGAGAAAATATAGAGAGGGTGAGAGATCTATCATCGATAGCATCCTACTAATGGGCGGTACATGTACCAACACAGACGAGGAGGCGTGGTCAAATACACGCTTAGCAAGAGGTGAAAAGGGACACAAAATTGAGAGAGAAATTGAAGAAGAACCAAACGATATGTTGCTAAGAAGGTAAAACAAGTCAATTGACAAAAATAAAAGAAGAAGACGAAAAAGCAATTGGTCATTAAGAACTTCTTATAGTCTAGCGGTTAATCTAGGCAAGATTGCCATAGGCGTTCACATCATCAATGCTAAGAGACACTTGTCGGTAAAAAAATAACAAATTAGTTATTAGGGGTGAATGATGATTTCGATTGAGGTGAGAGTGATGTATAATAGAAGTTATAAGGGTTTAAAGAGAAACATGTAGTGAGAGAGAGAGAGAGAAAGAGTTGTCTAAGAGGGTGGATATTAGGAGAAAAGAGAGAAATGACATGAATACGTCTTTTATCTAATAAATATAGTTCAAAAGAGAAAAGGCACTATCATCAGCAACTTCTTCTTATTCTTCTCCTTCTCCTTCTCATTCTTCTTATTCTCCTTCTTCTTCTTCTTCTACAGTCTCAGATAAGAGGCATCGAACTATGAACAGTGAGTGTTCGAAAATGATAGTCAAAAAGATTTTTTGATGATGAGAGTTCTTCAACTAGATTCTCAATTTTTGTCTTGTAATGCAGACGAAGATGATCTACAAACTTCAATAATACCATCTATGGTGTGGTGGGGGGTAGATGGGAAAGGTAGGGGGGAGGAGAGACAGAGGGGGGTAGTAGGGGGTGGTTAGAAGCGATATACATACGTATAGATTTATGAGTGATAACTACACAGATAACGAAAAGAGAAATATAGAGAAAGTGAAAGAATAATATAACAAAAAAATATAGAGAGAGAAAGATAAAGAAAGATAGAGAGAGTTGTTGCTTGGTCGTCTAACTCTCCTGCTTGAAGTAGCTAAGAAGTGGCAGAGGATACGGACACTCATCCTCATGCTCATTCACATGTTCAACCACTCGAAATATCCGTGTTAACATACTCCATAACATGATAAAACTGATATCCTTCCCACCCACCAACAAAAACCTCCTTCAAACAGTCTCTCTCTATCTCTCTCTCTCTCTACCTCCCTCTCTCTCTCTCAGAAGTTAAATGAGGGAAGTGGATGCATAATTAAAGAGAAAGAAAAATTTTTTTTACCCGAACACAACCTGTTTTGGAACGTCAACATTCAAATCAAAATGAAATATTTTCACGTGAAATACGTGCACGTATACACATCTACCGTAATCCACGTAAAATAAAAAATTTTATGCAAATGAATTTGAAATTGAACGAAGAGAGGGTTGAGGGGGAGAGGAAGAGAATGGGAGGCAGAAAGAAAAACTAGGAGGGAGGAATGATGAAGAAAGGAAGCTCGACTGTTGCAAGCACAATCAAGTTGAAGTTGGAAATATCCAATTACGTTAAAAATGATTTTTTGTTTATATATGGCCGTTACACATGTTTAAAAAGCGTATGTGAAAGGCATATTATATAATTAATGATTGTAAACGTAGGGAGTTTCTTTTCAGATGCGTATGATGATGATGCTCATCATCAAGTTGCTCACGAACGCATAAAAAAAGA